CAGGGAGTTTGCCCAAAATTGTTTATCATCCCTTCTAAAGCCTTCCTTTCTTTCTCATCTGTTAAAGCATCCAAATCCACAGCCCCTGGATGAAGAGTAGGGAAAAAAAAAAGAACACAATCCAAACAACTTATTAAGAACCAATATGGTCAACTAACATTCCAAAACTTAATTTACTTGCAGGATTATGACCCTTTAACCCAGAAAAGCCTCCAGACAATGCCTCCATTTAAAATACAATCTGAAAATTCCACTCTGCCTGTGGAATTCTAGGTATATCTGTGAGGGCAAGGCCTCTGTCTTATCAAATGAATTTAATATAGTTCATTGCAAGCAACAAGTAACAAACAAAAACCAACCAAAAGTTATCTTTGAAATGAACAGAAAAATTTGTCTCCAATATTAGTTGCTTTTAAGCAAGTACCTGAACTCTAAACCACAAGAAACTTCTTCCCACAAACGCTTTTAAGCAAGCAAATAAGTGACAAGACCCAGTAACTTGTAGAAAAAAAAGACAAGAAACTGTAACAGCGCTCCTTTAAATAAAACTATACTTCTTTTGATGATACATTACAAGGTTTACTGCCATATTTCATCTATAAATCTGCTGCTTTACCATATGCTACTGAATGGGACGTTCACAAATCAAGTGTCTTTGTCTTAAAATGAAAATTCACAAGCCTGATGATAATGACAAGAGAACATACTGCTTTGTACCTTCATAAGTGCAATAATAGAACACATTAAGCGCCTCCACTGCAGCTGGTCCCCTCTGCTTGTAGCCAAAAATCAAATCTATCCATTCATGAAGATGAGCAGAAACATACTCAGATTCCTAGAAGGAAGAAATGCTCTTGTAAGAATAAGAGAAATACTGCTCCCATCTTGAAGTTTTTACTATTTTCTGCGGAAAAGATTCAATTCCTAAACTAAGAGTATCCACAAATTAAGTATTTAGCAATGTGTAAGGCAGAAGCATAAGAATATCCTTGTGTCATGAGCAGTAATTGCCAGGTAAAAGGGAAAAATCAATACAGTGACACAAGAGATGGGCACTATTGAAACACACCTGTGCAAGGGGAGGTAACCTGCCAGCTTCCTAACACCAGACAGAATCATCTTTAAATGGCAAGGGAAGCCTACTCACCTACTTCTGCATTTTATCACCAAGGACAGCAAATGCCCAAATCAATAGTGCCCAAAATGCCCAAGATATTAAATGCTCTTTTCAGCATTTTATCAATATGCACAGAGCTTTTAACTGGAAGTTCTAATGGTATTTGTAATGTCAAATGCAACCACAACTCTAGTTTGAATGTCATCCCACTTGTTTTACATTTAAACCACAGTAAGAATGTGCAGGTGCACTTCCTTTACGATTATGTCACACATAAAAACAACGTCTTACCAGAGCCTTCCTGTGTTTATAAATAAAGTCTTCTGGGGAGTGGGCCCACTTAGGCAAGACAACATCATTTACCACCTCTTTTGACATTTGAAGCTGGCCTAAGTTAAAACCTGGTGAATAATTTAGGAAAGTTTTAGAGTTGCTACAAAATATTTCAAGTACCTTGATTTCTCAATAAAGATTAAAAATCATTACTTTCTCAATGCAAGAGAAGGATATTAAAAATTCTTAATGTAAATCTCAAATAACCCTACTGCTGACATAGGAGGCTAAGTTCTGTTCTGCATGTTTATAATTTTAAATAATAAAGGATAACAATTATCCAAAACATCTATATTATTTTGAAGCTGAAGTCCCAACCATAAAAGTAGTATTAATCTTTTAGACATCCATCTGTAAACATATCTGCATTTGCTTTACCAGGATTAAGAGTCCAAAACACTTCAATAAGGTTATTTGTAAGAAGGGAGTTAATTAGTAGTTTAAATGGTTATAAAATCAAGGCTTTTAAGAAGTCTGAAAAATCTCACCAGCTATCAGTGAAACAACTCAAAATACTTAAATGACTTGAAAGGGGGACTTGGGAGCTCCCAATTTTTCTAATTCAGAACTCCAGTAGACTGTAACTTTGTATGTAACAAACATACAAAGCCATTTTCAAATTGTGCAAAGATAGAGAAACAAATCACAAAACAATAAATGCGAATCAAAAAACATCTAGGAATCTCATGTCAGAATGCAGGATATTGTCTTTTCAATGAGCATTACAATAATTATAATGTATCTCTTAACTTTTGCTAAGTATTTAATCAGTATTAACTATTATTAACTTTTTCAAACATCCAAATGAGCATCTCTAGTACTTTCCATTGGGTAAACAACCCATTTTTAGCCATCCTTAAAGCCCATAGCCTGAATTTTAAACTACGCTTAGGCTGCTGCTTAACACAACTGGTATCTTCACTGAACAGTGTGAAGCTAGCATCATGATTAATGTCTATGGTCACACCATAAAGTTAAAATAGTAAGTGTTCCTCAACATTCATAAATGGCTGTAACAATTCTTTTCTGAAAAATACAGGAAGTTTTCTGTGAGAATATTCTTAGCAGTCAGTTTACCATTTTGATTCTCCAGGAATTCTGGAAAGTAGAAAAACTCTGGTATAAGTTCCTTGACATCATTGGGGTTGTCCATGAGTGCCTGCCAGGTAGCAGGAATAGAATGGAACTGTCTGTCAGCACAGTCAAATCTGTGGATCAGAAAACTCAGGTTAGACTTTGTTGATTCCCTCAGTAAAATGAGAAGGAAGAAGCAGGAAGGGGCTGTTTGTCTGCTCAGCATACCTGCCACTCTGAAGCTGGATATGAAGTGTTGTGAAAGGCTCTACCCGAATGAGGTAATGCATGACACCAGCAGCATTTGAGTAATGTGTCCCATAGTGAAATTTGTCAATCATCCCAAGAGGATCCTCAAAATTCTCGTACCTAATAAAAGGAATCTTTATAAATACAACTGAGCATTATAGTTCATTTACATGTGGATTATGCTTATTCCAGGTAAAGATTCAAAAGAAATGACCACAGCAATCTATAAGAGAAAAATACATTGAGTTCCATCAAACACAAAGATTCTAAATCTTACTTAGAAAGCCCCTAGGAAAAAGACTTCTGAAAGATCAAAATGTACACCAGACAAAGCCTTTGCATGCCTGTTATACTCTTCCCTAGGCATTTGCTATCAGCTGTCAGAAACTAGACACAGGGCAGACAGGACTGATGACTTTATACAACAGACCAGACCCCACAACACTACAATGAATATTTACTAGTGAATAGACTTACGATGGTTTCCTTATGATGGTTTTTATGATGGTTTTAAGATTTAGGAAATGTGTTTGACTGTGCAGGATGCAGAAGAGATCTTTTTCACACTCATGCCCATTTCCTTTTCTACTGGCAAACTCACTCTACCATGCCACCATCTGGCTGATAGATTCCTCAGCCTCACAAGGCTGGTAAGAGAAATTCTAGTTAAACATACTTCTAGAGAACTCATTTCATTACAGTCAGGATAGCGCCTCATCATTCAAAGGAAATTCTCCATGTTCCAAGATTTCAGAAGATTTTGGAAGACACCTGACTGCAGTCTGGTATGACTGCACACTCACCCCCCAGACTAGCAAACAAGGAAGGATCACTACGCTGCTGTGTGGGTGTGAGCACCTGTCATTGGTACCTACAGAGGACTCGCTGAAAGTCACTTGAGACATATTTTACTTTAAAAGATAATAATCTATGCTTGAAAAAAAGAGGAAGCACAGATTTAGGACCAATGCTGCCTCTTAGCATGGGCAGCTCAACCCAGCAATATGATTTCTCATTCCTTATCTTGAAGCAGACATGGGACACTTTATGCCTTTTCAAGCTGTTGGGCCATTAAATTGTTTCCACAGTCTTTCAGTTTTTATCTCCACAGCTGAGAAAGAACTGAAAATTTACAACAGTAAGTTTTGTCCTTTCACCACCATATAACTGAGTGCCATATAAAACAATCTGAATGCAGCAGGAACAATAAACCAACCACATTTGCAAATGCATCTATTATGTCATAAAACCAGCTTAAAAAAATTTCACTGTCACAACTTTATTTTTTAAATGTATTATTAGCCTGGAGGCTTAGAAAAGACAGAAATATAACCAAGTGTTCAGATACATACTTCTCTTTCACAATCTTAGCATTCTTCTCATTTACCACACCTATGGGTTTGGACAGGTCCCTAAATACTGCAGGATTATTCAGGTCCAGTTCTTCTGAGGTGTAATCTCGTAAAATCCAGGGAAACTAAAAAAAAGTAAGTCAAACATCAGACAGATTAAAAATACATCTTCCAAAACAGAAAACACACATACCTTTGGCAAAAATTTAAAAATTAACATTTTAATTACCACAGGATATTGAGCAAGGTCATTGTAAGTTCGTCCTGCCATGGTGTTCAGCTGAATAAGGTAGTCAAAGTTGGATATTTCTCTATTCACCCATTTCTGAAAGAGAAAGAAAGGAAATGGAATTCACTACATTAAAGATATAATTATCACAAATTACATGTTTTGTCAGTATCTATTTGCCAGAGAATAGCACTGGCAAGTGAAAAGCACAAGACCACAAAAATCGTATGCAACTCCAGATTCAATTTCTCAGAATAAAGTTTATTTTCCCTTTGATTTGCTGATTGGGCTATGTTTCATTGAAATCAGGTCCTGACTGATGACAGTACTGTTCCAAATACAGAGCAGCAGACAATTAGCAGCCTTGGTAAAAAGGAAAAGAAAAATAGGAAATAAGAGAAACAAAAAGAAGGCAAGTCTGCAGGTATTGATATGAAGGAGAACAGAACTTGGAAATCCATTAGAGCACTAAGATCAAAATTTATTTATAAACTATTCTCCCATTGGTTCACAGTACAGGTTAACAACTGGTAAACCAAATTGTCTGTGCACCTTTGTTTGCTCTATTATTATATTCTAAACCAAAGAACAGACATAGCTGTGGTCAGAAAGGCTCGGTATTTTTCTGTAGAGTGATGCAGATGTGTCATGACAGATGATATTTTCTCTGTGTAAATACACAACTCAATAGTTTTTATTGTTAGGAAAACAAAGAACCATCAAAGTATTTCCAAAATTTTAAAGTTATTTGTAGAGCTTCCTCCCTCAGAGAAAACAATTTTGGCATAAAGAGATGGAAGATAAAAATACATTTTCTATATTTAAAAATTTATCTGTGTTTATGGCAATATGGACATTTTTACCTTTTTCCCCAATACTACTAATTCCCACTTAATTTTCATGTGAGTTTTGTTGAATGTTCCTTCATGAAAAGATAGCAGGGAAAATTATTTGCATATCTAGTGAAAAGTCTCAAAATGGCACTCAAGATCATAGCTAAAACAGAAGCAAATCTGCCGTGTCTTATATTCATGTTAAAATGCCTGTCAACCAAATCAACAGAGCCTGGCAATACCCATTTACCTGACTGTAAACACAAACCATCCTAAAAATATGCATGTGAAAGTTCAGGGGCCAGGCCGAGGGTACAGAACTTGGAGCTGCCATCCAAAAACCTTCAAAAAGCAGAGGAATTCCTTAGAACATTTAGCTGAGGTCTCGTACCTGCATCAAACCTGATGCTTTGAAAAGTTCCTGTGGAGATCTGGTCCCAGAAATGTTTGGAGAACGCAGTGACAATATCCGACTGTATACTTTGTTTCGTACCTGTTAGAAAACAGCACTAATAAAACAATATTCTGGAGACTGAAGTTGACAATTAAGCAACTTATCTGCTAATTAAGATGTGAAATTAATAGGACACAGACTTTCAAGTACTTCAATCTCTTGCTGTTTAAAACATCTGGACATGGACAGCTATGACATCCTTCACATCAAAACCAAACCACACAACATTTTCTAAGAGCTAAGACTTCATAAACTGACCTACTAGTAAGTAGCTCACCCTAAGTTCTGAAAATTATCTTAGTCCCTCATAAAAAGCATCACCAATATTACCCAGAGAAGAAAAAAGTTCACTACTCCTTAACCATGGAATATCAAAGATTTCCAATCTTGCTGTAAAAAAGAAAGTCCCCTTTGATTTGCAATTAATTTGTTCAATCTTTAAAAAGATGGGCTTCAAAACATTTAGATTATTTAACTAAAATCACATTAGTAGTAATCATTCTGCATAACAGAAAGAGAGAGAGAGGAAAAAGGAGGATCTTGTTTTATCTGTCTTCACAATTAATTAGCTTCTAGATGCCAGACTGCAGTCTAGTTTTCCATGATGACTATGAAAAGCAAACCTTTTGCTATTAGTGTTACAGTATTAAGAAAGGCACCAGACTCAAATACAGTCACTGATCTTAAACTTAGCCTTGTGCTCATTATATAAAGTCCATGAAATTTAGGAAACCCATACCTCCTTATTGAAGTTGAGGAAATAGTTGGTTTGATCCGTAAGGAAGATCTCCAGAGCTGACCTCCTCAGGTTGTACCGACGCAAATGGATCTCTTGAATTTGAGAAAGGTGCCATTTGAAATCAAAACCTACCCCTAGGAAGAATACTCTGTTTATTCAGTTGGAATATATATGAAAAAAAACACTTTTCACATAGATACAGTGCAGTACCAGCTCCAACGACCTCAGAGTTATTCCTAGAAAAGAAAGTCTTATACTGGTTTGATTAACCATTTTGCTAGGAAAATATCAACTTCAGATATTGTTGTGCTGAAAGAAATGAAGAAATATCTGATAGAATGTAGAATTTGCTTTTGCTTTCTGATTAAAGACATAATATAAATGCATTACATTGACAAAAAGTATGAACCAACTCCTCCTGCTTTCTTAAAAGGCTCAAACAAACTTTTGTGTTTCGATATCCCAAAGGCTGAACATTTTGGTATACTGATTTGGAAAATTTTACTATTATTTGTCCAACATTTCACTTCAGTGTTTTTATAGCCAGCTGTATATGTTCTGTTAGAGTTCCCTAAATTAATATGGATGATAATGCTTACGTACTACTACTTTTTAATCAATGCATGAGTAAAACATTATTTGTCAGCAAGAACAGAGAGGTGCCATTTAAAAAGCAAATTAGAGGTAGTAACTTTTTTAGTCAGCAGGTTTTTCAGTAAGTTATTTTTAAGAAATACTAAGAATAATTAATCAATTTACCAGCTCAGAAAGTACAGTTCCAGATTCTTGATTCTGAAGGGATCAGTCAGCCACTAACCATCCAGTGCAATACTATTTTTTAGTACAGAACAACTTGTCTCTTTACAATTACTTTGACACTAATTTTCTAAACATAAACTCAGTCTACTAAAAGCAGAATGCTGAACTACACTGAAAATAAAGAGATATTGATCATGCTTACCTTCCTCTTTCTCAATGCTACCATCAAAGAAATAGATGTGCTGGGTAGTGACTTCCAGCCTGCCTGGTATCACGTCAATTATTGTAATGAGTTCACAATCTTCAGACAATATTAGCTTTTCTTTCTGACTTTCCTCATCCTTCTCATCCCTGTAAAAACACCACTAAGTGTTACAGGGTTGGGTAGATTATACTGCTGCTTAGGTCCTTGGTAAGAGTACAGTTGAGAAAATAATCAAATTTGAATGGCATTAAAACTGCAACATGAAAATTATGTAAAGCTGCTTTCATCAGAAGTCTTGGGTGTTTCAGAGTAGACCACAAACATCATTTCACAGCATCGCTCTTCAGTCTTGATATTTTCGTCTCAGGCACAATGGACTTGACATCATCTGAAGTACTAAAACATCAGGCTGCATATTTCCCTTTCTTATTTAATTGTTAGGTGCTTAAGTTCTCTGGCCCAGAGCAGAGCTGAGTTCCAGTTGATGTGACTAAAATTACCTTCAGGGTTATTTTACTATAATCTACAGCAAGCATTTAATAACCTTTCAAGCACAAAACATATCAGTACCACTCAGAGTGCCAACTCTATACTGGACTTAGCAGCACAGACACACATGGATGCATGCACAACATGACATGTCTAATTACTGAAACAAAGCATTTGCTATCCTCCCTCAACTTCCCTTCTCCTGCTCTCTCTCCTGCCCATTCTTTTGGTTGCAGTCACACAAGTGAAGCAAGCACAGCAGGCCTTGCCTCTGGAATGCTTTCAAACACAAGGCACTCTCCAGCACATAAATGCCAACCACACAAATTTTCATGCCATGCAGCTGACAGTGAAGTGAGTGACCACGGCAACTATGGACAAGAGGCAGCTCCAGTCTACTCCATGTCCCTACAGGACAGACTGTCTCTTGAGAATTATAGTTAACAGACAGTAGAAAAGCCTCAACAATTCTGTAGCTTCAGTCCACCTACGAGCAGTGAATTACTAATGGATTCTCACAAACATCTGCTCTGCCTTCTTTTCCTTGGGGCTTTTCTTGTCTCAGTGGTGACAACAATAAATCCAACACTAACTTTGCTGATCAAAACTGCCCTGGATGAGTTATTAAGGCCAGACAAAGAAAGAGGGAAACTTTGCATGCTATTCAATTCCCAAAGTAGTTTGTCGCTCCTTATGTCATTTTTTTCTGTGCTAGGCAATCTTTTACTTTGTTCTACTTACAAATTGGAACTGGCTGCTGTGTCTTCTTCTGGTAGTTCCAGAATATCATCTTCCAAGTCACTCACTTTCACCTGCTTGACCACCTCCAAAAGCAGAGACTCACTAGAGGGCTGTGTCTGGTGCACACCTAGCATAAATAGATATAACAGCTCAGAACTTTTTCTGCTGCAATACTTCTAGAAATCTAACCTACTAAGCCTGTCTTCTACAGCTGAGTGTTGGTTTTAACCAAGTAAGAAGCAACCATGTTTCTTAAATATTTTTGTGGTAAAGGAGAACACCAAATCCAGTCCTCGAGCTACACTGAAAATTATGACAGCAGAAAGGGAACACAACATATAAGAAAAATTTAACTTAAATTCTGATGTGGACACTTACAATAAAATATTTTGCAATATTTTTCCAGACATTGCTAAAGCATGCAGATTTAACAGAAATGCACTGCATTTGCTTTTTGGTTATGTGGTTTTACAAGAGTGTTTCAGGGTTTTTTTTTTGCTTGATACCCAATGCACTGAACTTAACGGCTACACCCCTAACTCAGCAGTTTGGCACACTTCTGAAACAAAGCACCTCATATCTACACATTTCAGTCAGGTTCTACAAGGCTTTGTATGAACACTGCTCACTCTGATCTCTTGGCTTCTTTCTTGAAGAAATAATCTCATACTAGAAAGCTGTATGACAAAGGAGTTAACTTTTATTTACTGCACAACAAAACCCCACATTTCAATGAACCAGGGCTAAAAAATTCTACTCAGTAGGAAGTTTCAAATACTTCAAGTTTCTACTCAGTAGCATGCTGCTTCCAGTCAAAGAACCACTCTCATATTATAGATTTTATTATAGATGAAATAAAGAAAAATCAAGATTTAAGTATACAGCATATACACCTTATTAAACACAAAGAGGAAAGCAGGTATCTTTCTTTGTTAAGAACTCAAGTGCGATAGAAAAGACAACTTTACCTAAATTATCTCTCAGGTCACTAGCATCCTGATGAGAGTTGAAGTTGTAATTCTGCACTAGTTTTAGTCTCATACGTGAAAAATTTTCCACATTTGAAAGTTTCCAGTGAACAGGACGCTTTTTCCTAGGAAAACAAGATTATTCATAAAAACAATCTGAATAAAGACCTACAGGAATTAATTGATTACAACAGAGTGCATATTTAGAAAAACACTGGTCATCCACTTGTACATTGTAAAAAAATATTAAAATGCAGTCTATTGCTTTTGTTTCACATTGCAGCCCTGATCATCACACTATTTTGTAAACAGTATTTATTTTCAGAGAATTAGCAAGGTTGGAAGAGATGTTCAAGATCATCAAGCCCAACTGACAACCTACCACCACGACAATCACCCCAAAATTATTTCTACTGACACAACTTGAGGCCATTTTCTCTTGTCCTGTTACTCGAGACTGTACATCTCAAGCATGGTCACTGCAGCCAATCTGACCTGGTTTTAATCAAATGAAACAGCCATTTGAGCAAATTCCCTTTAAGTATCACGAGCAGCTTAGGAACTCCAGTCTCACCTTTCAGCCCAAGGCCCACGCTCAGAGAACAAGTAAAGCTGGGCTGCTCTCCACTGCCTCAGTGTGGCTGTGTGTTGACTGCTGAGCTGTTTGAGCATGCTGTTGTACCGCAGATTTTCCTGCCGAGCCTTCCTGCTGAACGGTTCCACAAAGTGCTCCTGAAAGACCATTGCAAATAGGTCTAGCACTGAATTAACTCTGACCTTGGAAAACAGTTTCCCAAGAATTCTCATAGAACAGGAAGAAATGGAAAAGGTTTAGCGATAAAACATTCTGAAATTTTAAGGCAATACTTAGGAGAGAAATTTTAAAAAGCTCAGACCTGGAAGAAATAGTGCCAGACTTTGATTTAAAGATGTGAAGAAAGCATTATCCACACTGAATCCACACTAGAGCAAATTTCCATTGTTAGAAAAGCAGTCAGTATTAGAAATCCTACCATAATAGGTAGGATTTTTCTTAAATTCTGGTATTCTAGAATGTGACTCTTGTGTTTTTCCTTATTCAAGTAGCTAAAAATAGACCTACAAATTTTGTTATTAAGAAAGCAAAGAGATATGTAACTTCACTATAGTATTTCCTGTAATTACCAGTTAGCTCTAATGCTGAAATTCAATCTGGACCTTATATTGAAAGGTCAGTTTAGAAGCAATTTTTCCACACATTAAATAAGAACTGTGTTTTAAATATTTTAATTGTATTGAAATAGGGTTAAAGAAAAAAACCCAAACAATAACAGAAAACAGGTCTTAATTTAATAATTCAAAATACAAATCAAAGAGGATAAAGCTCATGGCTGAGCACATTTCTACCTTGCTCTACAAAAAGGAAGGCCTACTGAAATAACTTTGATTGCATGTATGACTCTCAATAGACAGAGCAGAATCAGAAAGCATATCCTAGAAGTGCATATAGTCCCACTGCCCATAAAATCTTAATACAATTAACTTGTTTACAACTACTTGAACTGGATCATCCTGGAATTCATTTACTCCATCTTTTAGAAGGCAACTCTTGAGAGAGTTCTTTTAAGACAACCTTGCACTCACTGAAAACCTTACCTGAAATTTAAGCTTACTTTCTCCTCTTTCCCGGTCCCGCTTGTGCATGTTCACCATAAATGCTTCATAACAATCTTTCCAATAAAGTGCCATCTGCTCATTATCATGTCTGAATGAATTCTCTTCATATTGCTTCATATTTGGAATAATCTGGTTCCACCAAAGCAAAATAAAAAGTACCATATGATTTCTGAATGGGTTCCTCTGCTTTCACAGCTGAAAAGAGGGAGGAAATGATACAAAAACAATTTACTACTTACATATTTGTCAATATAAGCTTGCCACTCATCAGATCTGCAGTATTCTTGAAAGTCCTCAAAGAAAGATGGGCTGCCATTGGTAGGAGGCAATGAAGGAAGGTGCAGGTTCATAAAGAGAAGTTCATAAATCTTGGATACCAATGTCCGAACAAGGGGAATCAAAAATGAGTAAGTTTCTGTTTTCTCTTCAATTGACCTACTCAAAATGCCTTCCAACTTCCCCAGGAGATAGCATGCCTCAGGCTGGCTCTCAATTATTTTGGTCTGAAGGAGGGTGTTTAGTTTGGCTGCTGCCATAGCACAGACCTATAAAAACAAACAGCAAAAAATGAATGTGATGCTCCTTGAGAACCCTTTATTTCCCTGCCACTCCTACCTGCCTATTCCCAAACTCAAATGGAAGCCACCTCTTTCTTGTGCTCTGGAGGTGCACATTGACAGGACTATAGAGTAAACCTGCAAAAGTTAAGAACCAATAAAACATCTTCCCAACAGAAAGATGAGAGACTGCCACAGGTCTGCTCAGTGGCACGAGCAGCTCTCCCATAAACCACACCAGTTACATCAAATGTACCCTTAAAATTCAAGTATCACTTGCAAGCATTCGCAACAAACCTGTAAGTTGTCTTGTGCAATGAATCCAAGGAGCAGCTGGACTTGCACCTGTGAAAGCCTAATTGCTTCTAGGCCAGCAGAGTACCAGACTGACAGGCTATCCATGAGAGTCACTAGTTCTTCCAAGAGCTATTACAGAAACAGAAAAATTGCATAAAATTAAAATAAATAAAATAAATTCAAATAAAAGCAACACTAACTACTCTAGCTGGAGACACAATAATTTCAAAGACCTGAATAAGAAGCTGTGTTCATATTTGTAACTTAACCAAACCCAGAAAATCATCCCAGAATACTGCAGTTAAACCAGTAATTTAAAGAAATTTCCCACAACAAAAATCTACCTAGCCCAGTATGTTAAGTCAAGCATCTCCCTTAAATAAAGCATATATATAAGCGTGTGTGTGTATAGAGAGAGAGTATATATATATGCTTATTGTTTTTCCTATAAATTAACTCCTTAAGTTAATATCCTTAGAAATTTAAAAGGGTCCACTCTAAGAGGCACTTCTTTCTGTCAGTATTTAGATAGCAAAAGTGACAGAAGCCTTGTGAAAGGTGGGTGTTCCCAAGGGAAACGGCACATTTTGCTATCCGGATGTGTTTAATACATCTTGGTATATTCCCTAATAGGCTACTCAAATTCTGACTGAAATATTCCATTTAGGATATTATAGTGTTTGAAGTCTCCCTGGGCACAGTGGAAGATAATTTATGAAAGTACTGTTATTTGCAATTCGAAGTTGGGAAGAGACGCAACTCTCATCACTCTAAATTTCAGCTCTCATTTCTTAGTAGGTTTCCCAACAGAAGGCAAAGCTTTTAACAAGAAGAAACTTTGTTAAAACAAGCAATTTAAAGCTTTAAGCTATGTTTACTTATAAGCAGGCATTTGGGGAACAGCATAGGAATTACTGTGTTAATCCTGACATTACACTTTTTTCTTAAAGAAAGTAGCCTTTAAAAATATTTTTAGGGATTTCTATCGAAATAATGATGGTTTCCACATAATCCCTTTCTCCTTTTGCTTAGAAAAACTGAAAAGCAATGACAACTCAGACTGTGAAGGAAGCATGACCAGTGCCAGAGATTACATAAGTGTTGAGATAAATTATACATGTTGAAACTCCAATACGGGTCAAAACCCAGAATTGACATTTCCCAACTTGCAACCAAGAACAGAGTTTTGGCTGGTCTTTCACTCAGGACGCTCAGAGAGTCACAAATGCTGATAAACAGTGTAAAGTCTGCTTAGGCTACAACTGCCGTTGGTTTTTATTAGCTTTTACATTTGCCAAGTATTTCTCCAGTCTGAAGAAACCTGGATTCTCAGTAAAGTGACCACTTACACGCCTATTTAATTTGCAAAATTAACTATATTCCCTGTGGTAAATATTCACATTTTTATTCATGAAGGGGCTAACATTCTACTATAAATCCTTACTCTGTAATATCTGTGGTTTAAAAACATATGACTAGAAGGGTGGCAGGGTCCAAAGCAACAATTTTCCTGTTACCATTTCAGCCCATATACATACTTCCATTCTGCGGTTACTGTACCTTTTCTGTCCATAAATTTGAATTAATTAGTCCTTCCGCCTGCAGGAAACCTTGTACAATTAGCAAGAGTTTGAAGGCATTTTCAGCATGTGTAGGGAGAGCTTTTGAATCTCTGTTATCAGTGACTGACCATTCTAACATCTTCTCCAGCAAGCTGCATGGAAAACAAAATCCCAAAGTAAGTATTACATGTTCTAAGTGTAAGTGGCTTTTTAAAAATCCAATTAAGTATTTAATTGAATCTCTTAGTCTGCAGTTACATAACTACCATCTTCTTGATAAGCCAATGAAATAAAAGCGATTGAGAGACTCATGAAAACAGTGATAGTTTTAAAACCTCCTGGCCACAAGATACTCCTAAATAGATACTGGAATATATTTCTGACAGTAGGTGAAGAGATAACAGAGAAAAGTACATCTTGTTGGGAAACACCCACCCTTTCCCAGCTTCACTCATGTCCCTCACTTATGTTTATCCTCAAAAGGGATGAACTGTACACTCACTTGAGTTTTATCTCATCAGAAGGCCGCAGCAACTCGTTAGACATCCCAAGTTTGGTGAGAGCAGAGAACACCTGTCCTCTCTCAATCCAAGCATCATCATCAGATTTTTCAATACCTTTCCACATTATACACAGTAGGATGTCAGTAAGTAACTGTATGAGTTCATTATCACTCCCCTACAAAAGAAGTGAAATATTTAAAGCCCTTCTAGTATAGAAAACCTTCAAAACATTTATTATTCATCACAGTCCCTATGGTTTCATGTTTCAACATTTGAAACTCTGTAGTCTAAAGTCCAAATGAAAAGCTCACGAAAACACAAATATAAGAGACCGTAGCTTGCTTGTATGATGTAAAACAAGCTGCCTTTAGCCACCCTTGATTTTTCCACACCAAGTCTGCTCCATGCCTCCCCTGGATGACGAAAGATGTTGAAATATAGAGGGGGGAGAGTTTGCAGGGGTTTTTAGTGTTTTCTTGTTGTTGGGAGGGGAGGTTGGTTTTATTTTTTTGTTTGTTTGCTCTTTTTTTTAAACACCAAAGCTATCCCAATTGGACAATCAAAAAAGACAACACATTACAAAAGGAAGTACCCCTATCCACACTATAAAAGAGCCATATTGTTTGCTTTTCTGTTGGATGATAGGAGGAACAAAAAAAGAGTAATAATCATTCATTAGGGAGATAGAACAAAGAAATTTCCAACAGCTGGAGAAACCAGTCACATAGTTACTTACTCCTTCGTTTTCCAATAGAGAAAGCTCAGCAGTGAAGCCCACATCACTCCTAACACCCAGCTCTTTGTCAGGCTGCTCGGAGAAGGGCTTTGTGCTCTCTGTGGGTGAGGGAGTGCTGGGCTGGCTGTCTGTCATCTGATTCCCACCATCAGCCAATTCATAAGAGTCAACACTGGACAAATCTAAACTGAGATGTGAAGGATTACTGTGCCACAATTCTCGGCCCTCCGAGCTAAAAGACATCTCTGCTGTGGATGCATCTTCCAGCGGCATAACAGAGAAATGGGCAGGGACGTCCAGGGATTTGTTGTCTTCTAAACTCCACTGATCAAACAGACCATTAACTGATCCAAAGCTGTCAGCTTTCTCTCTCCCTGTCTTATCAGCTTGATGTTTCTGAAGCTCTTCAGTAGGAGGCTTTTTTTCCTCTTCCCTGGAGGAATCAGTCCTGCTCTCCTTAAAGCCAATTCGGACCTCTGAGTTTTCTTTCAGGAATAGTCTAACCAAAGTGTCCTGCCAGCCCAGCTGCTGAGAAATCTGTTGTGCTGCATCCAGTTGAGAATGCAAGAGGTGCAAAATCTAAGGATAAAAGAGATCCCATATCTACATATTAATTTTAGCTTGTAGCTGCATCCATCTGGCTTTTCAGTTAAACAATTAGATTTTACAATCTAACAACTTCTTTACTTTTCTTATATTCTTATATAAAGAGCCAAAATTGGCTAATAATAAGCAAACAAGCCACAAAGTAATTTTTCCTTATTAAAAGAAAATACATTCGAGTAAAAAGAAAAACAAAAGCAAAAAATTCTCAGGAGTAGGGGAAAAGAAAAGCTATCAAACCATATTGGTAAGTTCCATATTTTAACAACTCTTCTGCATTCCTTCAAAAGCCAGTTATCTCAATAAATAATCCCATTCACCCATAGTCTAAAAAAAAATTTCTCAAATAGAAAATATGCTTGATTAGGAATTAGATTATTAAATAGATAAAATTAATAAAATTGCAGCATTAATAGCTTACTGACAGTGTATATTATAATATCACTTCTTCATTTTCGGAAACCTTAATGACTATATGGTGTCTCACAGCTACATTCAGTACTAATTCCAGTGATACAAGCTTTGAGAAAACTCAGTAATTCAAGGAGCCTACTATTTCAACCCTGTAGAAAATACAAGTTATTTGAGAATCATGATAGAGGCTTCACTTTTTGTTTTGGCTTTTAAAAGTACTTGAGTACACAATTCTACAGTTTGAGTGATAGATGTGTTTAGTTTTTAAAATAAACCACTGCTAAAGAAAACAGTAACAACAAATACTGCCACTGTGTTTTAAAGAAATAATTTAGTTATCACACTGTACAGTTTATCAGCTTGAAGGACATATTATAGTTCTAAAGAAGACAACTAACCTTTCTACAGATAATCACTCTCATGTTTATATCTGATCTATGAGCCAGATACACTACAGCTAGAAGATCTTTAAAATTCACAGCAGGATCTGTAGGGAAGAAAGAAAAAAGTCACCATAAACAATATCACACAGGAGAATGGAACAGATAAATATTTAAAAATTGCTGTGGAAGTTATGACAGCATCCAGGGATAGCAGAAGTAACAAACTTCAGAAAACTAAGAAAATGATAGCTGAGACTAATAAGAACTTTGAATAGAACAAGCTTTCCTGAATAGAAGGCTTTTCTCAACAAAAACCAGGTATGTGTGCCTCTGAGGAGCAGAAGTGCACTAATGTCAGACACAGCACTTGCCAATTACCTGCATACAGAACTTGGTTAAGAAGGTTTTTAATAAGAGAAACAGTAAGTGATGATTCATTCAGAAGGAGTCCTAGCCCAGAGTACCCCACTTCTCTGAGTCTCATACGGTGCTTGCTCCGTTCATAAACTTTGGTACATTTCAGCATCTCTTCCACGATCTGTAAGGAAAAGTAAACACAAACACAAATTCAACACAAAAAGGCATCTAGACCTCTCAAACTTATGTATGATATAGCATGCTGGTTCACAGTTTTTAAAGTTTGTTTGGTAAACTAACTCAAACAATATGGATTTTTTTTTAAAGATCCCAATACTTTAAGAGAACACTAATTCCTTTGTGACAATGCCATCTAGCTAACAGTAGAAAAAAGAAAAAAGCAAACTTGGATGATTAGTATCTTTGTAATTACATACACTTCAGCCAGACCAATGAAAAACACAAATTTATGTTCAACTGATTAATTTAGGAACATATAATTCAATTAATTACCTTGAACACAAGTTCTCTAAGCCTGTCAGAATATCTTTGATGCAATAACAGAGCATAAAGAATATCAGCATTCCCTGGTTCAAAGAGCAATAAAAAAAGCTGGTCTGGGGTTGGACTGGAATGAAGTAGGCTGAAGAGAACGTCCAAAATTCCACAGAGCTACAAAATTAAGACAACCAAATTAATACCCAGTTCATTCAGATTTCATGCTTTGTTTTAGGAACATTTTCTTGGTTTTAAAGTTTTACCTTTGCTGGTTAATAGACATTTTGCTGCTCAGTATTACTGCATTTAAACAATTTTTAGTACATTTTTCCCTCTACAGAACACCTTATCAAATTAAGCAGAGACATAAAGCAAGTTCAAATGCTGCTGATGCTACAAAATAGAAACTACATCATCACAACTCCTGGTCAGTTGAAGGTCAATCCATTTGGTTTTGTAAACTAGGATAACTTTTCTAATGGCACATCCTTATCTTATCTGCACCTAAACAGAACCACACATCAGTTAACGTTTTGCTTGTGGTCATTTTCTTCTTTGTTCACCCAGACAAGATTTCTAAATGCCAAGATGCAAAACCAAAACAAGTCCAGTTCAAACTGTTAATTTATGCCGTGTTGCATACCTGCTCCTCATCACTGGTGGCAGCTATGTATCCCACAATGCTCTGAATTTCTTCATGTGTTCCACCTTTGCTCAGGAAATATTTGATCAGTCCATACAGGGATGTCCGGATTGTTCTCAGGTCATCAGGAGCCAAATCACTGTCTTTACAACCAGTCCTGTATGCCAACAGATCAGAAAGGCAACCTAAGGAAGTTCTTCATGGCTCATTAATAGCAGTTTGATGGTGCCAGTTTGGTAGTGTTTCATCTACCCCAGGCATCATGCACAAGTTTTCAATTTTTACTGAACTCAAGCAAGTAAATAGTAATAAGCAGATCAGACTTTGTAAGTCTATAAAAGCCCTGAAATGCAGACTTATACTGATCTAGATATAGGTCAGGATTGCAGGTTCTCACCTCCCACAGGAAACAGCAAAGTCTCTAGCTAATCTTCCTCAAGCACATAACTATACTCATAAGAAGATATAAATCATCAGCACTGAAGGTTAAAATTTTAAATTTCTAAAGAAGTCCTACTTCAAATTCTACAAGCATTTAAAAGAACTTAAAATGCTAAACTTGGTATAATGGTAACGATCTACAATTTAATTTGCATTGTTAAACACAAATCCTACAATTTTGTAAAATTACTTTTACAAGCACTCATGGTGTCACTGACAAATTTCATGTAATTTTAGCATAAACATTCAAGGCAAGGGAAAGTTGTAAGTCAAATGGAAAAAAAAAAAAAAAATCAATGCAATTTTGTAAATTAAATCAACCACCAAAATCCAGCCTGCAGTTTTATTCATTAATTTTCTCATTGGAATGATGACAAAGAACCCCAAGAGCCACATACAATAAATGAGGAGTCAGAATTAGTAAAACTCATACCCATAATAAATCCTGAGTGTGTCCAGAAGAAACTGCACACCATACTTCTTTCTGAAGAGTCTTCTACTGTCTTTGATGATTGTAGAAAGATACTGTATGTGTCCTACAACATAAAGCTTTCTTTTAGAACCAAGATGAAGATTTGTCACATGAAGAGTCTCGTGTCTTCACACAGTTGCCCAAGGCCAAGAGCTCACCGATTCTGAAGGGAAAGTCACCACTGTTCCAGATGCTGAAGTCAAAAAGTAAGTGGTGATACATCTGTTGCAAAAGCTGCGTGTTCTTTTCTACTGAGACTTGTTCTATCAACAACTGCACAGCCATCAGGACGTTCACGTCCATTAAGATTCTTGGCACCTTGCAAAATAGCAAGCAAAATAGCAATAGATGTTAGCGCTCAAAATACTGAATGTCCTAATAAAATTTGATTTTAAAAAATGGAAGTTTCTTTTATCTTCTACAGCAATGTCTATTCCATTAAAGCTATACAATAATCACAAAAGTAGTCTCATTTGAATAACCAAACAACAGTATAAAAAAAAGCAGAACTTGAAAAAAAATTAAACATTGTATTTCACTTTGCAGTTAAAGACCAACTTCTCAGACCTTTTTCTTTCAGAAACACAAGAAACAAAATACTAAGGAGGCCTTTAAAGACCTTGGCATTCTGGCTATGTTTCAAAAGAATCAGGACCTCATTCATAAAACTAATTTCTAAAAGATGTGTCTCAAATTTGCTCACCTTCTGTAACAAGGCTCCTAGGGTGGCAACTCCATGGGAGTGAATGAGATTTTCCTGATTAACATGATGTCCCTGAATAAAGTGTTTTATCATCAAGATGAAAGTCGCAACTATGTTCTTCTCCAGACGTGCTTCTGCAGAACAGAACAACAGTAGCAAAAGTCTTATGATTTATCATTAGATCACTGCACAAAAACAGAGGAGGAAAAAATAAAATCAAGTGCTGATATTCTTCACTATTTCCTGAACTTCTCAACTCCTGTTCCTTAGCTGTAGCCTGTCTTTAGAATTTTTTCTGTGCAGAATCACAGCCATTCCACGCCTCTCCAGAAAAAGTGATTCCGGTCCTGACCTCAGTTTCTTCATCCATGGCTGTAGGTAACAAACTTCTTTGTTAAAATTTTTGCATATGCTGCAGTTATTTTCCCTCTGTAGTTTCAAACTGACACTTTCTAGCCATGGTATGCAAAAAAATTAGAGACAGAGAAGAGAAGATCTATTTTTTTACTTTACTCCACCATTTCATCCTTGAAACACACAGAAAAAAGTAGTGTTTTCCCTTGCAATGAAAGGATGATTTCTCAGTGGTTTTTGTAAGGTCAAAGTTAATTCTCAATACTAGCAAAGTTTTTTTTTAAATTTATTCTTAATGCATCCTTTCAGTTGCTTTTTATTTTAATCCAAAATGTGACTATGTGTGGAAGAAGTAGGAGCCTAAACATTTTATTAAGAAAATACAAGTTTGGCTAAAGGCTAAACAGCACAGTTCTGATGCTGCTGTCCCCATGTGGCTGTGTGACCCAGCACTCAAGCTGTAGGAAAGCTTCTCCTGTTGGTATTAGTAGGTTTTACATCAAACATAATTTCTCAAAATAATCAAAACAGAAATTAAAACAATGTCATATCGCGGTACCCATAACAGTAAATCATGAAAAGAAAAAGAATGCTATTAAATATATGTATACTTGAAATATATTAATTTTTATATAGTGCTGAGCCCCTGGTACTCAGTATCCATGTCAGATATCTAGGTACAGAAAGAGCCTTACAGCTTTATATAGATGCTCTGGAAAATCCAGTACATAATAAAAAGCTTTCTGTCATTCAAAAAAGGACTTGTAAAACAAAGCTTAAAAATTAGTACACTTCAGCTTCACTTTCCCACCTGATGCCTTTGGGGATGAAAACACCACCCAGTCACCCTCTACAGGAGTTACTAGCTCTGGAGGCAGAGTTCCTCCTTCAGACTTCCCAGGTATCTGTCCACCAAGAAAGCTGATCTGCTCCAGCAATGGAAACAGCACATTCATTCCACCAATACAGTTGATCATATCCTGAATCAAAAGAAAAGGCAGGTAAAACATCACCATAAATAAAATCCCTTCAACTATAGCAAAAATTTACTCAGCATACAGGATAACTCACAAACCAACCAGAATGTCTCACAGGCCACTTACACAGGGGCCATCCCTGTCAGCTCTTGTTCTGAAAGTACACTTTTCACATTTCCTTCCTCCTCCCCCACATAAACACTGGAAACTGAAGGATACAAAAACTTAGGAAGAATCTTCTGCTAAATATATTTGAAAAACAGGAAAAACATTTCTCTGATTTCTAAAGTTACTTGCAGCAAGCAGTAAGAGAAGACTAAGATTATACACATCTCTGTTTTAATCATCTTCCTAGCAAGATTTCAACTCCATGCAGTTAAAAAAACACTACAAATTTATTTTGTTTTTTAAAATAACTCTACACATACATCAGTACTAAGTCTGTCTTTAAAGTGTTCAAAGTCCCCTTTTTTCCCTTCCTTCTCACAAGCAAAGACAGCATAAGACAGTCCCTGGAGGTATTTAAGGGCAGACTGGATATGGCACTTAGTGCCACCATAGTCTAGTTAACAAGATGGTGTTTGGTCACAGGTTGGACTCGATGACCTCAGAGGACTTTTCCAATTTAATTGATTCTGGATTCTGTTATTCAAACAAAGCCTTTTGTGGTAAGGTGTAATATACTCACAAGATTTCTAGAAGCGATTTACATCCACTTCAAATCAATTCAAAAATCAGAGATACCTGCTCACTTCCCCAGCTTAGTCCAGAGACAAACACTCTGGAGTACAAGTACCCATTACTGGGCAAAAAGGACAAACTGAAGTATCCTAGAACTACTCATATAGCATAATTAACTAATGTGTCTGAATTTAACATTAGTCTCAGCAAGTGATTGTATAGATATGCACAGAGGATATGTACAGTGTAGCTCCAACAATATTTCCTTATTAATTAGTTTGCCAGTACAGTCAACTGTTCACTGTTCTTAGAAAAAGGCAGATCTTATTTATTGTTCATACATTTTCCTCAGGATGACAAAACGTGGTATTCTGCTGACAAGTCAGAAGTGTTAACTAAACCCTACTAATCTTAATCTAACTCAGAGTTTATGACAGCAAGAAAACCATGACAAAATTCCCTAGAGGTGACAAAATGCTCTCGGATACACATTCAATATGCATTCAACATTATAATGAAGAATAGTCAGCTACCACAAAATATCTTCATGTACTGTGACACTAAAAGCAGTGGCCCTCATAAGTTCTCAATAAATGTAATGCAAATGCAACACTACTCCAGCTACAGCATTAGCCCATGAATTCTCAGTGTAAAAACATGCTGCATCTGTTAAATATAATTTGCACTATGATAATAACATCCAGCATTCCAAAAGTTAGATGAACACACACAAGCACTGTCATTTTTACATCAGGTTCTGCCTCTTCACAACATATTTACCTTGATGTCCCAATTCACTACTTTGTTTCCAGTTAGTCTTCCATGTAAAAGATTTGCAGACAGGTCAAGGCAAATTTGGTTTCTGCAGGCCTGTTAAACAAATAAAGAAGCCATGATATCATCTAGAAAACAAGTTACAGATGCTTGAACACAAGATTTTGTGCCAATGTGTTAATATTAAAGTATTTGAACAACATAAAACCCTAGAATATAAAATATGCCATTTTAGATTTGACATTCTCTATTGTACAGGATAATTCCATCCTTTTGCCAAACCTAGTATGTCTGCACAAGACTACAGTTTAAGAAAGCTCTCACTGCTCCTTATCTTCCCATAAAAAACACGTTGCAAGCACTGAAAGTAATGCACACTGTATAGTCAAACAGAAATTAAGTCCTGTTTCTTACCTTTGGTGTATAATGAAGCAGCACCTTACTGGGGAGGTCTGCTACTTCAGCTTCTTGAGACTTCCACGGAGTTAAACAATTTGGACCTATTAAAAAAAGGTATATAAAAATCATATTACATACATTTAATAGTCCACTAGTTATTAATGTTGCCCTTTACAAATTTTGTATTACCAAACTTGCTGGAAGAACAAATAGGACATTTTGAACCGCATCTATTTGAGACATGCTTTGAAGCAGTTTCTCTGACTTAAATCATTAATTTCTGAGGGGCTGCTTAAAAAGGAACACATTCTACATGAAAAGCTAAACTACAAACCTTCAAACAGCTCTCATGTTCACCTTTACAAATACCTATTTTGTATTTGTCACTAGTTTCTGTCATCAAGCCTAAATGCCCAGAAAATTAGTAACCTTCAAGATAGCTTTGTTTAGCAATGCATAATATTTCCTTTAAATGATGCAAGTGTTTTAATGCCAATCTGTAACAACCTTGAGCCATTACGGAACTTAATACCTTTCACACTGTACAACATAGCTTTCAGAGTATTTTCTTTAAAATGACCACTTAATTATTGATTCTTATGGAAAAACCCTCAAGCATAAATCACCTTTAAGTGGCCTAACAAACAAGGGCAATACCTTTAAAAGAGTCTCAATTGTAAACACATGTAGGCAAACAGTAGTAAAAATTAAGAATTTACAAGTGAAATTATTACCTAACATTTTGATTTTGCAGGTCTACACATATGATAAGCAGATGAGCTTATGGAAATGTAATATTTTAAAATCAAACATCATAACCTACTTATTAAATGCTAAGTTTATTTGCTTTAAAGCCCTCTCACTTAGGTCAGCTCTGCAGTTCTGGATTGTAAGTTCTCCATTATGTGTGTGTAGAGCAGAGCTTAGTGGGGTCTTGTTCATAACTCATTCCTTTTACATCGCTAAAACCAGTACAACCACCACTCACCTGCTAAATATAATGCTTTCACCTGAGAAGGTTGCAGTGCTTCATGAAAGACAATAACTGATCCAAGTTGGCCCTCCAAAGAAGTTGGACACCCCCATTCACTGTCCTGAGTCCCTGCTGAGATCATTTTGGTGATGAGCTCTGGTTTTCCAAGCACCCCACCCCAATTTCCTGTAGCGAGAATGCCCCCGAGCGATGTCCGATGGGGCATGACTGGGGAGGAAAAAGGTGGATCTGGGATCTGAGATGGAGGAGGAGTTGTTGTTCTTTGACCAGCTGAACCAATGCAGCAAGAAGTAAAAGACTGGAGAGTCATACATGGAAGAAAGAAAACAAAACATACTGTAAATCTAAGCTTGAAATCTGAAGACTGCATCTAGCAAATCTGAACTAAATAAATAAAACTGCAAGCAACAAATTCTGTCAAGCTTTGAAAAACAAGCAATCCATCACAGTATGGCAGAAAACAGAGCATATACTTCTCATAATAGCTGAGAACAACCTTTTTCCAACTAAGAGCAATTTGGTTACCTCAAGGGCTGCATGACCTCTGGCAGGAGCACAGCCAGGAAGGACAGTGCTCCCAATATCCCTCCGTAAATACTCATCTTCTGGATTATATTCCAAAATACTAGCCCAACATATCTGCTACTGTACATTTCTCATATCAGTTAGTCCACTCAAAAAGATGCTCTCATGGTAAGATTACTTGCCCTTCTTCTAGTTACCTTGAGATTTATAATGTTTATTCTACAGATGGGTCAAAAAACAGAGTTCAATCTTGAAAACATTTACTCTCATTTTTACTGATTTTACCAGTACAGCATACAGCATCCAACTTAACTGTTTTCTCAACATACTTAACAAATATTGAATTAGAACTCAGAAAAGAGGGAATAATGTTGGGTGTTGTAAATTGTTCTCCAAATGGAATGAACAAACCTTACAAAAGAAATTAAACATGACATACACTCATTTTGATGGCTAGTGTATTGCTAATTGTGTACACATCCAAAATGGTTAGATTAACTGCATATAAAGTGCTTATTCAGTTACCAAAGGAATAGCATATCAAGGAAACATTCAAAAAATACAAGTAAAAATATATGAAAATACTGAAAATTACAGGGAATATTCCTCATTGAGTAGTTCATCAATCCTACTGGTAGAGCTGCCATTTATTATGATGTCATCATAAATTATGTCAATACGCTCAGGCAATTATTTTGAGGAAAACTCCACAATTTAATCAATGTAATCTGGTAAAGTTTTTTGTTTTGTTTTTGAACTGAAATGACTAAACAAGCATTACTTAATGGTTAGCTGCACTCCAAAATGATATTCTGGACAGTATCCAAAACTGAACATCATTAGCAACAGTCTGAACTGTCACTGTTGTATGAGAGCTCATCTTACCAGGGTATGGCTCAGAAAGGAACTTACTTCATTCATAGCAGGGAATCGAAGTGGGGCAGAGACCTTCTGCTGTCCATTGACATAGATATACACAAGGCTCTGACCAAAGGGCCTCTTCCCAGGCACGTGAACAATAGTTATGTTGTGCTAGTTAAGCAATAAAAAATAATTAAGTCATTATTAAGAGCAGTGAAATTACTATATGAAACTATTTAACTTTATCTCTACTAAGCTGGTGAGTAAAGCACTTAAGAAAATAAATCCAAAGCATCAACAAGAATATAAGACCACCTGCTGCTTCCATTTTAAAGTAGCAAATGCAATGTTTACATATAAACAGGTTTTTGAAGAGCAAGATACAGCTATTTCATAGTAATGCACATCAGTTCTCAAGTGTAGGAATAGAAAAGGGTAAGGCAGAAACAGCACCACAGCTAATTTATTCACATAGTATGACAGCCACCTATGCTTGTTTTAATTTAATATAAAAAAATCTCTAATGCTGTAACAAGCTTAATCAACAAAAAAATGCCTAATACACAAGCATAAGTTAGTTCAATTAACAACTAATCTATGTGAAAATTGATTGCATTATTTGAGACTAAATCTGCTTTATGCAATGAATTACTGCAATAAATGTAATTAATTACTTCAATATAAAACAGACTATTTGTAAAATTATCAAAAAAACTATAATTTTGACTTCTGAGCTAACAATACAATCCTACACAAACTGTTTGTCAGTATAAAATCTTACCCAAAGAGAGTCAAAAAAGCAATGGTCAGGTAGCATCACTGTTGCATATTCCCTCTTCGTGCACACTGCAACAACCAATACCCCTGAGCATGTAATAAAGGCTTCAAACCCCATACCACTTGCTGTAAAAAAGCTACAAAAAACACACAATCAAGGACTTGCTTCATCAAAACTACCACATAACAATACATTCACTAAGAAGAAAATCCACTCAAGTTGTTTGGTGGTGGTCCAATATTTACTATATGACTGTGTTACTCCTCTTATTAAAACAAAAAAAAGGGAACAAAAAGACATTGTGTTTGCTTCTGTTAATACCCAGAAAGTTAAATTATACCAAGAAGAATTCATGTCAATATGCCCTATTTAAGCATTGTGAAGATACCTTCTCACTTGTGCTCTTACACAAATCCAGAGTTCATTACCTTTACAACAAACTGCATGAAGGATGTTCTGGTTTTGGCTGGAGGGTTGGAGGGATTGGGTTTTGGTTTTTAATGCTGTTTCATTTAAGCAATGAACCTTACCACAATTTGGAGTTATGGATGTTGAAACTGTAGATGACATTACAACGGAGAAACTACACATTATTTCTGTAACAGAACTTGGCTCTGGTGGGAGATGAAAGCTCTCCCTTTCCCAGACTAAGCACTAAGTACTGCCTTAGATGAAGATAAGCAGAAGCACCACATGTCACGGGGTACCATAAGGCACAGATGGCCAACATCTATAGGGTGTAGCAGTTACAGGAGCTGTACCTGTAGAGCTGCTTCCTCTTGCCGCTTTTGCCCGTGGTGCCGGGCTCCACCCGGTCCTGGTCGAGGCAGAGCCAGGCGTTGAAGGAGAAGGCGGAGCCCGGCCACCTGTGGATGGCGGGCAGGGCGATGCCGGCCATGCTGTGGTGCAGGTTGAAGTACTGCAGGGCGCTGGCCAGGCCCTGCTTCCGCGCCATGGCCAGCAGCGCGCGCATCGCCGGCACGGCGTACGGGTGAGCGCCCCGCGCCTCCTCCGGCCGCAGCAGCCGCACCAGCTGCAGCAGCTCCTCCGAGCCCATGGACTGGCTCCCCAGGGAGCCCAGCAGGGCAATCAGGTTCTCTGCACAAGTGGCGTGGAGCAGCGAGTGGGAGTTGAGGGTGTCGATGATACGGATGACCATGTTCGCATTGACGCACGTGGCACGGCTCTGCCTGTCGATACAGCAGATTCGCCTCAACCAGTTGGAGATGAAAATCTGCAGCTCGTGTGATTCTAGTTCTGGAAGCCACTGGATGAGCAGCAATAAGGGCTGGACATTACTAATGCCTAGTATCCCAACAGCCATGTGGTCACCTTCAACAGCCTGAAAAACAGCAGGGAACTCAGACATGCAATTCAATAAGACAGGGCCAGAAGTACTGTTGAAAGATGTAAGCATTTCTGCTCCAAAGCAAGCACAGCTCACCATATTCATGAGTTCTTCCAGCAATTCCCGTGATGGCTGACCCAGTGATTTTAGTACCTCATATATGTGTGCATACCCAATCCTCTCCTTGAAGACCTCCTGAGGATAAAAATTCCAGTCTCACTAACAAGTAAAATGGACAAAAACTGCTTGTCTACTGCAGCAGGTAGACGAGCAACTTTTAAGACAATTTATTATTATTAGACACATAATAATTAGAAGGTAATAATTACAGGCTAAAAATCTATTTTTGATAACCTGCTCATTCTACTGTCTCTAGAATACCGCAGATGAGAAGCATTTCACTGCACCCCATGGATAAATAAAAGTTCAAAGTTGTATTTTATTAATTACCTATAAAAGAATGTAACTACTTTGGCATAATCCAAATGTTAATAATATCACAAAGAACAAATAGCTTCATTTTTCATCTTTTTAGTGCAAACTATAGCATGAAATGTTTACATTGAAAGGCAGAAATATTCAAATCTTAATCTTTCAGTAAAAGGTTTTCCTGGACCAGATTAAAAACCATCTGTCCTAAAAACTTAAAAAATTAGAAAAGTGTTTCAAGGAAGTTTTCCTGAAAACTAATTATTTTTCAAGGAAAAAAACCCCAAAACAATAAAAAAATCAACCAGCAAAGTTCAAATGGTAGTATCCATTTATGGTTTAATTATTAAACAGCCAACACATCTTATGGAATGGATACTCCTCCTGGCTATAGTCTGTGCTGAAATTATTATTTTTTTAAAGAACAAATCTTTCAGCAGGAGTGAGGTGATTACTTAGGTAAACATGAAAAGAAAAAATACGCATGTTGCAGTAGAAGAACAGTTGTGAATCTCTCTGTGAATCCCAGCTAGTCCCCACCTCCAACATACAACTCTTCCCAGGCTTTCCAGAGTCAGTGGAGAAATAAACACTTTCAGTAATGCTCTGGAGGAGCATAACAGATCCTGTTATCTCTCCCTTAGGCTGTACTGCAAGTAGCAAAAAATAAATGATTCCCACTCTTCCTTTATCCTCCAGTGCACAGTCAAATCCCTTTAACTGTGCCAAGTCTAGGGAATCACTCAGCCACGGGTTAAATTTAATGAACCTAGCAATCCAGGAATAAATACACTATTGTTCCATGGGTTTAACTTCCAGTCAGAACCACAAACTAACTACAACCTATCCATTTACCAAACCCAAGAATAACTACCAAGGAAGGACACAGGGCAATGGTATGACCACCATCTGGACAGCAATACTGTCTTGGCTTAGTTTAAGGCCATGTAAAAACTACAACACAAACAGCTGCCTGAGAATTCCTGTAAATAGCCACTGAGTCTACCCTACATATCCATGGGACAAGTAACAATGTACTTCCTTTGCAGAGGTTCCAGCTGCCATCATACTCAGATCGTCCAGTTTCAGCAGAAAGATGACTCAGTGTCCAGCCATTAGACACATATAAAGGGATAAGGGATATTAATCAGCTATTCCTATCTGGCATGGATGTGTGACCACCATCTGCTCATCTCCATTAGCAAGATCCATCAAGGTATTGTGGTAAAAACACTAGCTGGAAACGAGATCAAAAATCTGCTAACAGCCTCCTGCAGGGACACCGTTACCTTTGCAGCTGGAGACTTGTGCATTACTGCTGTGAGGGCTTGAATGGTTGATACTGCCAAGGAGTCCAGGTGGCCCTGAAACACCTGAAAGGAGCAGGTACAGAAGTCATATACAAACATGCAAAGACAGCTCAGCTCCAAAATCTGTGCTGTGCCCTCCTGCCAGGAGGGAAACCAAGAGTGTGGCGGCATGCTTCAAAAATCATCTCCCCACCAGTCAAAACTTCAAACCCCACAGCCTACAAGGAATTACATCACAGTAGACAACTAACCACACACTTCAAGAGGAGAGAAGCATTCGCAACACAAACTGCACCTCAAATATTCTGATGGACAAACAAGTTTTCCTCATGCGTCTAATGGACAACCTCAAGAGGGAGGGAGGAAAACAATTAGGAAATCTCTTGCAGTGTGTGTGCGTGTGCTGCTGGAAAACCAGCATCTGCACTTCACATAAAGTGACTTATTTTCCATCCAAGGCCCTGCAAAGCAATGCAGCACAGACACCCTTGAAGTATAAGAGAAGTCACACCAGCACAGTTAGGTGGCTTCCTCACCCACAGCCCCATTGCATTGATTCAACACCTCTCTCTCCAATTTAAATAATCTTCTGAGGTTTTTTACTATACTTCTTGTTTATGTTGATATTTCTATGATGGTTTTAAGAACAAAAATGTTGGAGTACTCTTTGCATCCATCAGTAAACCTAATTAGCAACACTGTGCAAACAAACATACTGCTTCATCATCTCTGAAATATTATGTGCACCTTAGAGATATTTTGAAAGTGAAATGTCAAGAAGCAGAAGACTAATAGATGTGAAGAAACATTTACATGCAGTTAGAGCGTTGTGCTGTGTCCAAAAAAGCCAAAGCTAAAAATCCCAATTGTAAATAACCATCCCTTGTATTCAGCACTTTTTTAACATTTTTAATCAGTACAAATAATTCTATTATAAAATTAATACAAAAATTTGCATTTGAAACTTTCCACGGTATTTGGGAAAAGTGAAGTAGCAGGCTATTCCTACCTCCCTGATTCAGCCTGTCCATTGTTTTGTGAACATCTGTTCTTGATGACAAGCAAAGAATCAGGACACCAAACACAACCACTGAGATTCACAAACAAGGCCCCAGAATCCAAAACACCACAGTGCTGAGACAAAGAGCAAAAAAGAGGAAAAGGAGGGGAAAAAGAATCACCACCAGGCTGAGAGAATTAATTTAGATCCCATTCATGTACTTCACCTCTTCCTTAAAAGAAGCGTAACTGATGCTCATTCTATTGCCAATATCTGCAGTTTGTAGCAGATGAATAAAACATAGGCTGAATTCAATCTGTTATTCACAAAAATCATTTTCCAGAGACAGGAAATGCTGATCTGTGCAGCATCCTAAGTTCATCTTGCTGCAGAAAGGCTTAAGGAGGATGGTTAAGGTGAAGCACAGGAATCAATTTTCCTGTGATTATGTCTTGACTTCTAATGAAGCAAAATACAGTTTAGGTAGGTACCTGGTCCTGATTCATTTCTGTCAGTAATTTGTTGGTAAGGTCTTTCTCACTCTTGTCTGCCACTTTATTGTTAGCATTTAAAAACAGCTGTTAGAAACAGAGACAAGAATAATGGAAATAATTGCATTAAACAGTGACCTGCAGCCAAATCTGTGGAGGCTGCCTTAGATTTGTATTTCACATACAAAAACGGGGGGGGAAAAAAAGGGAAAAAAAAAAATCAAGCTTTCTCACACTGGTAAGACAATCGTCCATTAGTATTAGTCTTCTGTTAATTCTTAAAATACTGAAGATTACACTGTATTTTTGCTAGAGTAATTACTATTTTCCCAGAAAAAAAAAAAAAGAAAAGAAAATACGTAATCACTGAGACAAAGAGATTTATCTGGCTTAGCAACTGTGATTTCATTCATAATATGCAACATGACAGAGTTCTAAGAAATTTGCTTGTGAGAAATACAGACAAGAGTGGGGCATTAACAAGGAAATGGATACAGATGTTTCACCATTTTCCACTTATGTTTCACCCTAGGTGAAAGCTGAAGATATCCAGACAGAATATTTTCATCTTCAAGCAGTACAGTAGCAGAATTTCTGGGGCACACAGTCTTTGGGACAGGAAGAAGGGAAAAATACTTCTGCCATCATCCTAAGAATCAGGTTGTAAATAGCTTTAAATCAAACATACATCTATACTGCATCGTCAGCTAAGGAATTGTTCTGTGTTCAGTAGCTAAATTCCTGGTGAGTACTTGAATTTAACAGTTTCAAACTCACCTAAATTCATAATCAATTGCAGTCAATTGGCATGCCAAATTTAGCTGTAACTTAATCAGACCTAAAATTTACCTCCTGTTTTAAGATTCTATTGAGGCATTAAAAAAAGCCCTGATCAAAACGTTTTAAAAGTCCATTTAAAAAAAAAAAAGAAACATTTTCCTTTAGCGTGTAAAGCCTAAGCATCTCTTTTCCCCCACACACATAGATTTTGTTCCATTATCTGCTAGCTTAGTCTCCCTGAAGAGGAACAACCTGAGAAATCGACTTCCATAAATTAGGGCAAAACAAAGGACAACACTCAAGATATTACTTTGACTTACATAGGTGTGGAAGCACATCGTTAGAAACACTTTGAAAGGTACATCACAGTCAAGAGCACTTAACAATGCAGAGTAACTATAATGTGTCTCAGAGGACTATAACATTAGCAGGAATAAGAACATTAAACAAAAGCAAATACAGATAATGCAAAAATAAAGAGTCCATCAAACTTTTGGTATGAGTTACTTCATTTCTCATAAGGCATATGAAAAGGAAAAATAGATTTCTTTTTACAATGTCTACGTGGTTTTAATCCTTCAATTTAAAAGCTGTTCAAAAACACATTTCCTTCTTTTAATCAGACAATGTTAGAGGTCATTGTGCTTTGCTCAAAGTCTGACCTCTGAGACAGTTAAATAGACGGGAAAAGATTCAGCACTGACAAACCAGTTTGTTAAATGACTCAGTACAGAATAAGCAATTCCTGATACCTCTAAATTACGGTCCCTCTTTTTTGATATCACAGGCAAAAAACAACATTCAGATGATCAAAACTTAACCAAGCAGTTTTGAAAAGCTTTTGTGTAGATCTCTAACCCTAAAGCATAGCTAAGAAAAGACAACTTGTCCATGAGCCTTAAAACCAGCAAATATGAAGAAAAAAAAAATTACATCTTAGAAGACTGTTATACTGCAAATGACTAGGAAGTATGAGTAGAAATACAACCTTGAACACATCAAGTTCTTTGGGATCCCTATAGCAGAAATAGTGGTATGGATTTTCTTTACCCCTCCTTTTCATAGAAATTACTTGCATTTCAAGTTTGCAGAAGATCCAATAGCTTCCTGAGTTTCAGACTGTGTATGGACTCTCATGCTCTCTGCAGAGATGCAGAACATGCTTTCCACACATGGCTTGCTTAGGAACCCAATAGAAATTTTCACAAATGAAGGAATAAATCTAGAACCAGGGTCTCCACCTCCAGCTAATAAGGAGAAATCCTAATTCCACAGCTAAATCAATCTTTGCATGGAGACACAATATATTTGAAGTACAAATATACTGCAACACCTGTCCTGCCTCTCTCTCTCCCACTTCTCATCTGTGGGGCTGTTTTGCCAGCAAAAGGCTAAAAAAGCACACTGTGTACCAAACTGGCAGCACTGATCTCTAAACAACACAGTGATATGTGAGACTGTATCCCTGGAAAAAACCTTAAAAGACCGTATCTTGAAACAAACAGACAGGCAGAATAAAAATAAAAACAGCAAGCTGCAAGAAAAAATAGAGCAGCTGTTCCTGCTTTTTAAAATTCCACTATTTGTTTATGAGTGCAGGAACACAGCTAAGAGCCTCCATGAAGAGGTAAACATCACGCTGTTGATGATTTTAGAGGAAACTAAAAAAGGAGTTTCTTACAGAGTACAAGGTTAGTACAAAAATAGGCAGAGATTCCCAAACACACAGAAGAATGGAAAGGTCAAACAATGTCTTTTCAGAAGGAGATAATAAAATTACAGACTATTCAAAACACTTCAAGTCACTTGGCATTCTGCCAGTGGTTATAATTACAATTAAGACATAATCCAAACACATTTATTTTTAATACATCATTGCACTGAAATACATTCTAATCCAAAATCTAATGGATTGGAAATAAATTGCACACTGTAGCTAGCCTACATTATCTACATGAGCATCAGAAGAGCTCAAAACAACTATGTCACTAACGTATCACAAAAAGAGAGATAAAATTGTGCAGAGTTATATCATATCTGTGTTCTTTTACATAGGGAAAAATGAAAACAGTGCAATCAGTGGAAGTCTGCAAATTATGACCATTTGTGGTTGAGATGAAAACCCTAAATCCTGTGTAGAAAAGGAACATTTTTAACAGCTTGAGCTCATGTTTTATGTCAGCCACACACAGGACTCAAATATTTTGAAACACTTACAGTGGCACACCAGAAAGATTTTATTTAGTGGAAAAACATTCCTCTGAAATTAGAATTCAGACCTCCATCTGGCAGCAGTTGTTAAGTGATTTCCTAGCAATCCAGTGATAGAATATAAAAAAAACAAACAAAAAAACCCCCAAACCCAAATAAAAAGGCAGGGGTGATTGATTTATTTAATCAGACATACTGTTAGAGGGTATTGTGCTCAGTTCAAAGTCTGACATCTGAGAGACTTTAATAGGTAATAAAAGATTCAGCAGTGATTCAAAGTTACAGCTTCATAACAGATTTTAGAGACTGAGCAGGTAGAGGTGTTTTGCTCAGGACTCAAAGTATTAATTTCTTCAACCACAAGACACCTCTACTTCATTAATAATAATACAAGGCAGGGTTTGTTAAAAACAAGCTGATGAGGGAAAACTTACCTTGCAGTTCTGCAACAGTCGAATGAGATGCTCAAAGCAGTTACTATTGAGGAAAATTGCCTGCAGAACAGGCCTATCTGTGCAGTCTAACATGGCTGTGATGGTATCTATAAAATCAAAACAGAACTGGCATCAAAGACAAAATATTTCCCAAATCCATCACACATTTTTCCCTGCACATTCCATAATACACATCAGGAAAGATTAGACAAATCACATCCTCTGCATTGTTGATCAAGAATGATGTGCACTTAAGAACAAATCACTAGGCCTAAAGCTAATTTTGACACTGAAAAAATTACCACATAGAGTAACATTATGGAGAAATTTCAGCTAATTAATATCATTGACTGCTTTGGGGCTCTGCTTCGAGTCACTGCCAAACATGAGTACATAAGCAGCGTTACATTCTCTTTAGAGCACATGAACATTTGTTTCCTTAACAAGCAATTACTCTGCAGTCTACACCAGTCTTATACTGTAAGTATTCTCCATGGCCACAGTACTATTCCCAAGTTTTCTTGGAAGTTTGGGAAAAGAAACACATTTCCCATGCTGAACATCAAAATGGAAAAAACTCAAACCCCTGAATTCTAACCAAAACTTATACCCAGCTCTTTCAGACTATTACTTTAGGCCAATGTTTACAACAATGCCATTTGAAAATCAAACTATCACAAAACAATACCACATGGCTATTTTACTACAGAAATATTTAATTCTGCAATTACTAAGGTTCTGGTAAGTGTCACTTCTTGCCTAGCCAAGTTTTTCTCTTCTAATGGAGACTTTCAGTCTACGAATCTTGACACTCTGGTTCAATGGTAGCCATCTGATACGGTTTCTTCTGGTTTTTGTATTAGTAAATGATTAAACAAGAAATATCTAAGAAGAAACATAAGAAATTTTTCAATTCCTTAGCCAAGTCAATATTTTTTGCTTCAGAGATATTGTCAAGAAATATTGAAAGGAACTGTGTACTCACTCAGCATTTGGACCTGTAGTGCTATGAATCTGCTCTCCCACTGCCTGCATCGCCTTGCATTAGGTAAGGCTGAATGGTCTGAATTAAGCAACTTGAAATAGTTCTCCAATATTGTACTTGTCTCCACTTGGCGCTGGTCAGAACTGCTGGTTAGGAGGATATGGACAACTTCTGTCAGGCACTTCAGAGTCAGCTCTGCCTTCCTGCTCACTTCATCAGGGTTTCTGTCATCCCAGTTGTCACAGTCTGCTAAAACACGCATCAAGACTTCCATGGTGGCAGGAGATACTGCTTGAAGAGCATTCCTCTGAAACCCATTAAGGGAAAAAAAATAGTAAGAACAATAAATTTAGAAGAATTTAAACCTCTTCAAACCAGTTGCGCCTACTTGAGTTACCTGAACCATGCAATAGGCATTATTATATCTACTAATGTTGTGTAGTTGTTAAATAACTAAAAAACATTCCATTTAGATTATGCTGATGGCTACAGATGAAATGCATCCCATCTTGTTCACTTAAACAGGCTCTCTTTTTCAAAGAAAATGCTTATATAGAAAAAGAAATATAATTTAGAGGCATGTTACAAAATTTTATAAGGTAGCCCTGATAAACTGTTAATTTGAGGCAAACCTTCACCTGAGTTTTCATTTTAGATTATGAGATTCATGTTACTTTAGAACATGTGGCAAGAACATAAAAATTAACAAACATTTGCCTGGGCCCTGAATGTATTTTCCTCACCTTTCTTTCTGGGGGCCTGAAGCACAGGCTCAGGCACAGGAACCCAGGCTTGTGGTGAACTTTGAGAAGCCCTGTCAGGGACTCCTTGCCCTCTGTAGGGAGCTGCATTTAAAGTCTTGGCTCTCAACCCTCAACTCGTTTGATCTACCCTGCAGCCATGGCCATGCCTGGCCATGTCGTGTCTTGAACCTGACCCACTGACTTGACTGCAGCTTGACCTTAGCCCTGCCTCATGGCTATGGTGGGGTTGGCAACCACTGGCCTCTTGCCTGACTCCAGTTACCACCAAGAGAGCAAACCCTTACTCTGATGTGCTCTCCAGACTTCCTGGCTTGACTTTAGGCTTTATCACTACAGACTTGGCCAGTGGGCTGGGCTGGTTGATCCTGGTTCCAGCCACCACAGCTGCTCCCATCATCTGTCTGGGTATAGTGAGATTGCACCCATGGCCAGTCAGGTCAGCTGCTGCTGGCCATCCTGCTCAGACTCCATTTGCCTTCCCTGAGGGAGCAGAGCCTGGCTTTGCAGCTCCCTGGCAACCTTTAAAAACACTCTCTCTTCAAGACCATCAGAAGCAGCAGCTGCTTGTGACCAGGCTAAACAGGACATTGCAGAAGTCAGGTGAGAAAGTGGATGTTAGCTTTGCTGATGATGAATACCCTCTTTTCCTCAGATTCTTTCAAAGACTTTAAACTGCTTCCAAGCTGTAAAGGCCCCATGCCTCCTACTGAAAACAGCTTACTTTCAGCATTGGGAAGTAAGCTAGATCAATTCATGCACATGAACACAAAACTTTCATCTTTGCAGGTAGAAATTCCTAATCTAGTTATGCTTATTTTTTCTTTAAAATATTGCAGTAAGTTCATATGAACATGTAGTTGTTCTGAACAGCAAACTTCTACAGTTGAAATTGGGACCCAGCTTTTAGCATTTAGATATTATTACCCAGAATGATCCCAAAATTCCTAAGACAAAAAGAATTAATCATGGATAATAAATTATTCTCATTTACAAGTTATGGAGTATTTAAAACTCTTAAACAAGGAACAAGCATTGGCACGTTTCAGCAGCTGAAAAGTTTAGTTTATCCTTACCTGACCACCAGCCACAATAGCTCCAAAGAGATGCAGCAGGCAACATTTTAGGCTTTCCTTGAGATGTTCACTTTCTTGAAAACATTCTGATTAAATAAAAAGGAGATTATCCTCAAAAAAAAGCCACCAACAAATAATAAAAAAACCTCCTCTATTCCCTGTCATCATACAAATTTTAAAAAATCTCAACTGTATTATTTCCACTTTGTTTTATATAACTCAGACACAAACACACTAATTCCATCATTATCAAAGTACCACAACATTCCACATTTATCAGGAATTCACAGGGCCACACCTTCCGTTTGCATAAACTTCCCGTGCCAGCCAACAGAACTATAAACACACAACCTTTGCTCTTGATTCATAATGTAAAAATGAGCCCATTTTGTCCATACTAATGAGAAATAGAAGGACATTCTAACACACAACCAGTTATCAAGCATGACAAAGCTCATAGAAATTTTGATATGAAAATTCTGATGCCATATGCAGTGCAGGTAGCTTAAAAAAAAAAAAAAGTCCTTGAGCTGACTTGAAGGCAGACTGCCAGACAATCCTGTGCAGATGTGTAACCATCTTAGCAGTAATTTCAACTATCCAGCAGTAGTGACAACTATGCTGAATCTTTTCTCTTGCTATATCTGATAGAAATTAGTCCCAGACAGCCTCAGGAACTCTTCTTAGCAATAGATATAACCCGTTACAGCAATAATGCTAGACCTAACACAGCAGCAAGAAACTACAAAGTATTATTTTTGGAAATACCACTTATTGGCAAGTAAGATTTCTGATTACCTACTGAATGTCTAAGCCTGTTTTAAAAGAAGATCTGTTTTCCAAACAGAACAAAGCTTACTTAGATGATTTCTTTGTTAGTGAGGTAGTACGACCACTCCTTGGCTTATAGCCTCTGGATATTTGTAGAACCTCAGACTAATTGAAAAGAGCAGTACCTAGCTCTGTGAATAAATCTTTAGGCTGGGTAGACTGAAACCATTCAAATTAGCCCCCTCAAATTAGTCCTGGCATGGCAGAATGCTTAAGGCACATGCTCAGCAGTTTCTTACCCTGTCCTTTCTGCCAGTGGCCAACAAGCAGAGGAGTATCTGCTGGCTAATTAGCACACGAACCACAGGGCAATGCACTGAATGGAGAGGAGAGAACCTACAGATGACATTCCTCAGTAGTAGTCTTTAGAGTGGGTTTCCAGTGCCCTGGCATGTAGATCAGGGCATTTTACTGGCAGCAACAATTTGGTCTTTTTGGCAACTATCTTATCTTTTGTACACAGCAATGGAAGCACAAGGAACAGGAGCTGTGACTCAAACTTAGAAAAATCAAATTCATAAATGCTACCACTCCACAAATAGAACTTTTTTTTAATTTTCAATTAAACTAAGTTAATGGATAGCTGCAAAAAGGGCTGATTTCACTCCTTCATTGTCCATCCCTCCAGCTTATTCCTGCTGCTTCAACATTTTGTAGGCACTAGCATTTCGGTATGCTAAACTGGCAAACTACCTGGGCACCCCACATTCTTGAGATTTAAGTACAGAATATGGACATGTAAGTCTTTCTCTACAATACAAACAATCTGTAATGGGAAGAACGCATGAATTCCAAAGTAGCCATCATGGCATTTAATGACTTAACCAGAGAGAAATTGTTTCCCAAACTCGAGGCCAAAGAGCATTTGCTAGTTGAATGGCACAGAGTTTCATTTTTTCTAGTGGTTAAATCATATTAAAGAGACCAATGTGCATGAACATTCTCCTAAGATTATTTTTCCATGAGAGTGATCAGCACAGTTACTACAGGGATCTCATGTGCAATCATTATGTAATGCAATAAAAGGAAAAGCTGGCAATTCACAGAACCAACCCTATCAAACCACATTAGGCACTGAAAGTCTAGAAATAAAGAAAAAGGTTTTCAAAGATGAGCAGGAATGGCAAAATAGTGATGCTTATAGCAAAGAACAAGTACAAAAAACAAGCAACCAAAGTAACTCACTTCATTCAGCCTCAGAAAGCAAGTAAGGGATGTTCACATTTATCAGGCATCCTTAGAGAAAGTTACTTGGGCTCACTAAGTTCATTCCTCTACAGAAAACTACTTTTAGCAGGTTGTTAGTAATACTTACGGTAAAAGAAAGGGACAAACTCAACAGTGAGGGAAGCTGGTTTATACTTCTGTCTGCTCCTTTCAACTGTACTAAGGAAACGTCTGCAATTACATTAAAAAACATGCACCAAAGAAATTAGACACATCTTTGTTTATGACTTACTTATTAATTTATAATATCAAATTATAATATGACATAGTAGAAAATGCTGCCATAAATCAGGAGTTATCTTTCGCCTACAGGATGAAAAATAAGAGTGAAACAGTATTTCATCCTGAAAACATGAATCACAGCTAATCCCATATTCAGTCTGCACCTAAAAATACTTAACATTTTACAAAATGGTTTAGTTAAAAAAAATAAAATAAAAACCCAGTAACCTCTTATTTAGTCCATGTTTATTGTAACTAAGCAACCAGCTAGACTGTCAAATTTCTTGACCAAGCAATTTAAAATGGGCACAAAACATTATGAGTTCATTAGGCTGGAGGGAACATACAATCAAATTAAAGGGATGTAATTTTACTGATGCATTTATAAACTTATTTTCAAAGATGTAACTCATTTCTACTGTGAACTTCTGTAACTTCTTTTGCCCTAATTGAAGCAGGTCTGCCCACCACATTGCTTTTGGCTTCTTTGTTCCACTAGTTTAGAAAAATGGTCAGTTTTTGGAAGGAGAAAGTAATGTAAGCACCTTCGTGGTGATCAGTTATAACCAATCACCTCTTAATATATCCTCAAATTTAATTTTCTTTCATATTTTATATTAACAGTAAAAACACTGTAATTTTTAAAAGTTATTTACATCATATCCAGTTTGAAAAAGCATAACATGTTTCTGCAGTGTGATTCTATTGGTTCATGGTTAAAGCTCTCATCAACCACAGTATTTACAATCCTGTGCTAGCCCACACATACCCTGCAATTCGCTGCCTCCAGTTTCGATATGGATCGTAGAGACTTTCACAGAAAGCCAATGCATGTCTCACAAATTCTTCTATGGGGGTCTGATCCTCCACTTCCTTTTCTTTTGTTTTGCTTTTTAACTGAGGAGAAAAAGAAAGCTACGGTCAGAAAATTTCCAAAAGTTGAAAATTAATCTTTTATCTGATCTGATAAAAGATTTCCCCCAGAACAGTTCTGAGTCTACAAACTGTTCCCCATATAACACTATTACTGAAAGAATAGATCACATAAAAACAAGCAGGAGGTATCAGATGGCAGAAATACAGACACAAATTATTAACCATGTACCTGCTGAATGTACAACGTAGTCATGGTGATAACATGGTTAATGTATGAACACATCCCAATCTCTTCCACATTAGCCAAATTCCTGTGAAGACAACATAAAAACCACAGATTGTACACAGTGTACTATTTGAAGCTAGTTTAAACAATGCTTGTTTTAACTTTCTGTCTACATTCATACAAAAGGATACCAGCATTTCAAAAATACTCTCTAAAAGACTGCACATACTTAAATGTTTATTTCTGTCACTGTTACAGAGCTCACAAGTTTTCATCTAACAGGAAGAAAGATTCAAGCCACTCTCCTACAGGCCAATTCCATCTGGAATTTGGGGTTTCAGAGGTTAAGCAGATTCCCAGGACACCCTAAATAGAAAGGTCAGAAATGGCATCTGATAACAAAGACATAACTTCCACTTTACTAGCACATACACTTTCTAACACTATAGAAAACATTACCTAGAAACATTTATTCACTTTAAATTCTCTGAAGCATAACAAACACCTAATAAATTATTTTAGAAAATAAAGCCGTAACAACTAAGAATTTCTCAGTTTTGAAGTTACAAAGATCAGATACCAAAATGATGACATAGGAGGACTTTTCAGCAAGTAAAGGTGACACCAGTTTACAGTTCAGGAACACATTACCACCATCCACTCAGCTTATATTCACTATTCCAGGATACTTAAACACAATACAGATCTTTATATTGTTTCAGAGGTAAGGCAAGCCAAAGTATTCAAAAATCCTGCTTCAAACACTCCTCAGTAAAGGAGATTCTCCATCGTATTTTATGCCTTTCCTCTCTCTAAAAGTATTTTACAATAGCAAACAGAAAAAATAGTGAGGAACAGATCCCTAAAAATAGTTTATTCATTTGTGTCAACAGAATTACACTCTCAGGCAGAAGTTTCAGAAGGAAATCAGCTGCATGTGTAGTGTAATAAGTTTCACAAGCTGTTTATGGAATTTTAAGCATGTTAAGAATGTGAAACAGTTCTTCCTGTACAATTCTCTCAAGTTATTTCATAGCTAACACTTGGTAGAGTGCAACTTTTCTTTTAAAAGTATTTCTTATACAAGGTACATCATATCTTGAATTCCCATAGGTTTATCTTCTACAGCTACAAGGAATTTAGTGTTTCATCCCCTCCTACTCCTATTGCAAACATTATTGCCAAGACGATTGCACTGCTCTCCTCTCTCTTTTATTCCCTCTGCGTTTATTTTGAAGATAGTGAGAAAGGTCATTTCTCTGTATCTACTGGAAGGTATCAAATCACATTGTATGTGTCATTAAAATCTGTATTTACAGGCTGCATTAAGATCTCTTAAACAAAACAATAACCTTGTTGAGGCAACCATTAGAACAAATACCTGCAAAGGATGATAAAAAATTTCACAAGTAAAAGTGACAGAGTCTGCTGCTGCTCTTCCAGGCCATCTGACATTTTCTGGACACACTGTAGCAACTGGAGCCTGAGGACCTGAAGAATGTTATCAGGAAGGAGAGATATTCCTGGCGGAATGTCATCCACCCTAGTGACAAAAGCCAGACAAAATTGTTAATCATACAAATGCCAAGCTGCCAATCGATTTCCATGTACTCATGTAGTGTTCCAGTGAAGTTCTGTGAGAAAGGTCATCCAGCTGACACATCACAAACAATTTCCAATGAACCACAAGGAAATGTCTGGTGGCAATACACCAGCTTGAGCTCTCTTTTCCCCAGCAATGAACTATATTTAAAAAAAAAAAAAAGTTAAAATTTATTAAGTTGCTTCCTAAATCCTCCTCAATGCAACGAGCTGCCTTAATTGCCACAAAGAAATTGCATGATCTTCCTCAGGTAAACAGGTGGCCTGGGAAATCCCCAGGGACAGCCACAGTAGAATGAAACATGAGAACAAAACATATTTGGAAGAACATTTTCAACTTTCTATTGAAGATTAAAAGTGTCTAAATAAATGAGATGTCAATTATCCCATAGTTATTGAAGCCCAGTTGGTATTTATCCACAGTGAACCTCATGTCGTTCTTATATAAATTTTAAAAAGCCATACAAAATTATCTTGCCTATTGTTTTCTGCAAACTAAAACATTTTTAGAAACACACCAACGAGAACCAAGACATGAAGAATGGGTTCATTTGTGGTTTAATTTTTTTTTTCCAGTGATCCAAAACCAAATAAGAAAATGACCCAGGAAGAACCATTAGGAAACTCATTTCAGTAGCAGTATAGAAATCTACAGATCTGTAAGAACGTTTTTTTTGGGATGAAAACTGTTTATCCACTGTTGCACAGGCTAAAAACAGTTAGCCTTTGGCAGCAGCTATTTACCATGACACATCCCCTACGAACTCCATGCAGGAAAAGGAAGGCACAAGCACGAGCCTTACAGTTTACAAAAGCCTTCAACATCAACATGGCCAAAGCCAGAGGAAAATTACAACAAAAAATTCAGCAAGCTCAAAACCTCACTAATACAACTGCTACATACATTGCATCTTGGCAAGAAAAAACACAAAAAAATGTGCAGAAATGCAGTGACTAACTATACAACACAACCGCTCTTATTCAAGGAAAATGGGGAGCAATCCATGGTTTAGCTTCTAATGTTGAAAAGGAAGCCTTTATAGGAGGGAAAATCAGAGACACAGTTTAGTAAAACACCTGGACTGGTATAAGTGAGAGAAAGCTCCCATATCCTAGAAAGCAAATGGTACCTATACTTAGACAACCACCTACTGTTCATTCCCTTGCCTCTTCACACAGTTGTGCAATTTGCTTTTCAGATCGTGGAATTCAGAATCTCAAGGGATTCAGAGAGTTTAAACACAAATTTTATAGCCTAGGCTCTACACTGATAGCAACAGTTTAGACACTAACCACAAAACTGAGAGCTGAGAGCAACTGCTTTTTTTCCAGCACAAATACCAAGAAAGAAATTTTAATTTCCCTGGTAGCTACTTCACCCCTCAAGATGCTGGCAGATCCACACTCTGGAGCTACAAGTATGGTTTCTCATAATCTGATAATTCAGATTCTGTATTTCAGATTCTGATAATTCCCTCTCACTAACAGGAAAACTATAATTTTTGACAGCTGAAGTCATATGTCCAGAAGTTAATTCCCTAAAATGGCCAACAAGTCATTTTCAGTCAGATCATGAAATGCTTTACAAGAGAGCAAACAGCATACCCTTCATGCCTCACATCCCAAAGAATGTTTTCTTTGCAGTAGCTGCCTGTGTGTTGCAGAACCCATGAGAATTTGGGAGAGATGTGTGAGACCAGCATGAGAAATCCAAATTGGCATTACACAAAATGAATACACTATAGAGTATATAAATAAATGTAAATATTGTTAAATAATCAAGCTTGTTTTCACCCCAGAGCAAATTACTACTATACCACCAAAAAAACTTAGATTTAAAACAAAGATTTAAATTTGTTGACATGTAGTACCAATTTTTCCCAATCAACTCGCTGTTTAAAGTAAGTACTCCAAAATGAAGGAAAAAATTAATATTAAAAAAAACATTCCCTATCTGACATTATTATTTGACTGCTGCTACCATACCTCAAAAATATGAGGAAGAACTTGACAAATTTGGGTTCTTTTTATTTATAATTCCCTTCATTATGTTATCGTGGTTATGCAGCCATACCAACTGTGTCAGGTGTCTGGAAGGGAACTGAATCTCCTCCACACTGTAAACACACACTGAACTCTTCTCTGCCAGTGGTGAGCACTGGAGAACAAACTGCAAACCAGGCTTTACTTTTCAACAATTACCATGTAATCAGCATTCCTATCATGATTTCTGCATCATTTTTATGTGGATTTCAAGTCAGCAAGTTAATAAAATACTGTTTCTATGGTACTTTGCTTGAGCTTCCTTTAAGCTCCTTCTTTCAAGATCATGCAAACCAAAAGCAGAAAAAAAAGTATGACAACACTCAGGAGGCCTCTGTTATTTTTAAAAGTATTGAATCAAATAAGAGCTCCTCTCCAACGAGGAGAAAAATCCTCACACCAGCTGATAAAGGTTTTACCCTTTTTATAATAAATACATATGACATGGATACGTGTTTTGAGGGAAGTAATAGACAGGTGTGCTGGTCTTTTGTGCTCCCTGCTCAAACCATCAGCATAGCTATATTCACCTTTTCAGCAGAAGCATTAATAACATCATCAATGAGCCATTTCATACAGAGTAGAGGCACAAAGGGGTAGAATGGAAGCTGTATAAGCCTATAAGCTGCATAACTGTATAAGCTCTACTTATACAGTCAAATCATACTGGATACACTCACACACTATATTTAGAGGTTTCCTAATTCTGTACTGCTTAGCATCTTTCACTCTTCCAAAGCAGACTTCAGGAAATTAGATACTCTAATTTATAGAAAGAAACCTCTATGAGTTAAATCAGCAAGTGACAGTGCCAATTAAGAGTCCTTTCACTAAGGAAAAAAAAAAACCAACCAAACCTGTAATAGAATCTTTACATTTCTTAACTGGTATTTTCTTGGATGCTAAAAACCCCCACATATGTTTTAGATAGACACAAAATTTCATGTCTGTCTTCCAAAAGTTTAATTGTGTCCAGCAATCTGTACAAGCCTTCTCCCTAAACAGTTTCTCATAATTTCCTGGCATTAGCCCTTCACTACACAAGGTCTTTCAGGCATATAGCTGTAAAACATACCAAGATTTATAGAAGAAAAAAAGAAAAAATAATTGGTGCAGTTAGTTTCTCATTTTAGCTAGCATCACACTTTTTTAAAGACCAACAGAATCAGTTGTCTAATAAAGAATGCAGTTAAAAAGAAAAAAAAAAATTAAGTGAGTCCACAGGGTCCTGTGGCCCCTGGAGTTATTGGAAATCAGCATTTGGCAGTTCCACACTGACCTACTTTTCTTTTTCACGGCCCCGTGCTACTGTTTTCACAATGTAAAGGCCTGCAATACAGACTGACAAAGCCCAAAAAGATGCCACCTTTCACATGCCTGATTATATCACTAATGCAAGTATGGGCAGAAACTGCAATTCTTTGTTAATTCTAGTATCTGATTGCCATGTTTTTTTTAATGCAGACATAAAAGCACAGGAATGATCTGCCTTCATCCCTATGTTGTTTTGATGCTTTTTCTTTACATCTGTTACACAAATGAGTCTAAATCCACATGGTTCTCTTCTTCCAGACTAAATCACTAATCCTGTCATTAAGCTCAGAAAAACACACATTATTTTTACACTCACTAAAGTCACCATTTATCACAATGAAAATGCTGTTATCTGTTCTGCATAACTAAGCTTTACGTTGCTGAAAAAAACCTAACATGAAAATCATGAACATATACACTAAAAAACACTTAAACTCAGAGTACAAATAAATTTTAAAAAACTTAAAATCAAAATACCGAGACATTCTTCTGTTCCAGTGTTCGTATTTCAATAATAGTATGTTAAAGATAATCTGTGTCAAAGAACAAATTTTTTTTCCTTGATTGAACATAGTAAGATGCATTTTTGACACTACAAAGGAATAAAATTTTTAGAAAGAGCACAGAATTAACTTGAAGGTCTTGCTTACTGGTAGTTGCACTACATATCTTGCACTCATACAGGCATTATGGGGAAAATTTTAATACAAAGAGCTGGGAAGTCCAGGTTTTATCTGCTGAGATCCAGCTGCAGCATTCTTCATTTCCTTGTAACAGTTGAGGCTATCACTTGCACTTCAAACAGGATCTGATCCAAAGCCCGTTAAAGAATTTCCATTGATTTCAACAAGGCTTGGAATGCAGCCATCATGCAAGGAGCACCATTCTCGGCCTTCAAACACCATTAGTGGTATCAGCTATAATACTGACACCAGTTCTCAAAGTCTGTATCCTTTAAGATTTGTTTTTTCTTAAAAATCCCTAGTTCATCCAAGCACCTCAAAAGTAAGAGAAAACATCCAATACCTAAGTTTTTACTCCTCATTTTCCAAGTTAAACATGAAAACACAATCATGATAACTGATTTACATTACAAATTTAAAATACTAAATATGGAACTCTGAAATTTGGCTCCAATAGACCCTCCTGATTGTAAGTGGGAGCTTTTGGTCAGCAACATGGGGGAAAGTCAATACTCTTACCCTGAAGTCTTCATGGATGCAAGGAAAACACTTTCAAGTCTATAATTGCACATATTTTAATTTGTAAATGTTTTCACTTGAGATACCCAAATCTTCCATTGAGCATTGCATTTATCCTTAATCTTAAAGCAACCCCTGAAATAAAATTATAAACTCTCTACCTACACCTTGCTTCTCATGTAACTGCTGATAGTAAACACTGTTTCATGTGCAACATTTAGCTTTGTCAACTTCGAATACTTATTAAAAAAAAAATTATGAGGAGCACAAGGAACAACAATTATATTTCTATGGGCAAGAACAAGAAGTACTCATTCCAATTTCCTAACATAATGCAAATACCAGTATTTGCCTAGTTTCATCATTCCCAATCCAACGTCACCTTCAAATGAATGGGAGTGCCACTTGACAACTAAAAAACTTTCTTTTGTTTAAAGGCAGCACTGCCATTGAACAAGACTGGGCTCTCAGCCAGGTTTGTTTCAGATATCAGGGAAAGATGAGCAGGTCTCTAATTCTACATACCTCGTTGGCAGCTTCTCAAAGTCCACATCCAGAAACTGTTCATAGCTAGACACAAAACTATCCAACCAGAGCTTCAGGTAATCTGGATCTTTCTGTAAAAAGGAAGGGAACATTAGGCAATATTGAACTCAAGGTCATCTATCAACAACTCTGTAGTACTGCCTCAAATAAAAAGCTTCTGTTTAATGCATTTCAACTGGGAGAAAAGATGGAATACACATTTTTTTAGAACCAAAAGAAAAAATAATCACCGGTGTACTTTGAAATCTTCAGCCACATTGTGCTGATGGGATATTTTTGCTCTATTCATTGGTTTATGTGTCTCCTCTTCTTGGCACCAGTGCCAACCAAAGCATTTTAGCTTTTCCCCTCACAAACAATCTTAACTTATTTTCCAGGGTCATCTGTACTAGCTTTACAGACTTATTAGAATGTGCCCTAGTCTTGATACCATAGATACCAGTACACAACACTTCTTATGGTTCATAAATTAAATAAGAACCCTAACAGCAATCCTAATCACAAAATAATTTTCTTTTTGCTTCACTCATAGGTCAATATGGCAGATAACAGCAGAAGAGAGACAGATGGTGCTCAGAAAGACAATGTAGAAACTGTGACTTGCATACTAGATAGCTATAAAACAGATAGAAAATTATATTTAAGCTTCCTAGTTGCTCCTAGTACAGCACAAAGACTGTGCTTGTGACCAGCAGTCCCTCAGGGCTGACACTGTCTCAGGAACTAGGACAGACACTAGACCACTGCAAACCACACAGGGAAATTCTGTCAAAATATGCATTTGAGGTAGTCTTACTTTAGAAGTCAAGCTACTTAGCTTTCAAAAACAAGTTGCCAGCCCATAGTTAACACATTCTTCTGCCAGTACTGTGCAGTTCTGCCCATTAACACACATGCACATAGTCACACATTCTATGCTACAAATAATTTTTAAAACAGTTTTAAAATTTTTGCCTGAAGTATTTGAGATTACAAATAATTTCTGAATCTACCCCATAATTTGCAATATTTTGCAGAAGTTGAAAACATTTTTCTTCCTCCTTTTCCCTCTTCTGTATCTCCTCCCTTTTGTTTGTTGTCTTTATATTACCACAGATGTTTCCAAATAAGATAATGTTTCCCTGCAGAGTTAAGATCGAAAAGCAAACAGTGAATATCTTTAACACACACTCTTATGCAGCAGTGTCAGTGAAAAAGAAAGTCACCAAGAAAGACTGACAGAGTCCTGTCAATACAAAATAACTACCTACAAGAGCCCTCCACAGGGAAAAAAAAAGTTTAAAAAAACCCACAGAAACAAAACAAACAACCTCAGAATAAAATAAACACGTAAATCCAGAACCTCAAGTGCTGCAAAGCTCTTCTCAGAGCATTTTATCACAGCAAGTACAGCAGTTATAAAGCATGGGAACTCCCTTCTCATTCTAGACTTTACCCTTCTCTGTGTCCCCTAAAACCACCCTCAACTCAAGCAAGAAGTGTTACAAACATTCAGACACAATTTACTTCAGTATCACAATCATATATAAAATGAGTTCATGTACTGTGACAACAGGTGCCAAATAAAGCCCTCAGGTAGATAATATCTTATCTGATTATTTGATTTCACTGACTTTACTGCATTTTCTTGTTGACTTTTCCTAGTTGTCTTATTTTCCCTTCTGCTTAATTCCTAATCTCTCCCTCCTTCATAATCCTTCTCCTCATCTCTGCTTTTATTAATTTTTTAATTATCTAAGTAATCACTCCCTTTCTTTTTCTCTTAAAAATTTGTCAAAACAGTACTATGTTTTGGAAGCCTTGTTTTCATGTTTAATATGCACTGAACCACCAAACTGCTAACTTATCTTAAACACACCTACCAACTGTCCTCAACACGAAACTGCAAAACACAGAATGAACGAAGTGGTTGAGATAAAGAATAATTTCAAGGTTTCCAAACTACTGGTTTAACTACAGAGGTTGTTGGATTATCACAAGTGAGTATGGAATACACATTTCTCAGGTTCAGACATCAAACATATTGAAAATCAACTCAAAAGTTAAACAAGAAGTAAGACCTGCCTAAAAGAATAATTAAGAAGTAGTAAAAGACACTGTTTTCAGACATCCCAGCTTTTCAAAAATGTTCACATATTTCAAGTTTTAACTTTCTTATATTTCACAGCAAGTAATTTTAGTTGCAAGCAAGCTATTTCACAGGCTCATAAAGACAAGGAAAACCAGGATACCATTTTAGTAATTACAATACAGCTGAGGCTACAAAGGGCAAAGCAACCACAGTGAAGTAATGAAGAAATGTTGCCATTTCCATGTGCCTCTCATGATAATGAGCATATACATGTGCAAAAACTAAACTTACATGACTTTTTCCCTGTTGAACAAACTTGTTCATTAGCATGAGAAACTTCTCCTTGAAATCCAACAAGAAACACTAGATTGATTCTATTCATTTCCCAAATTAAAACTGTTTGTTGACACAGCTCAGGCGCATTCTCAATTGTTAACAGTAAACTTGTGTAAAAAGCTGCTGTTCTTGGTCACCATGAAAGAAGATGTGCAAATAACACTATCTGACTTTAAACTGCTTTAACAAAAGTCAACGATGAGAAAAGGGGAAGGGTAGGGCAAAAGATGAAATAATATTAAATGCCTCCTTGCTCCTTTTTAATGATATAGCCTAAATCAGTTTCAAGCTTCTTTATCTTTGAACTACAATAACTTTGCAAAGCTACCAATACAGACTGGGAATAAGAAAACACTGGCAGACAATATTCAAGAAATAACACAGATGGCAAGAGTAAACCACGTGTTATGAAACAGCCAAAAGTTTTTGCCTACCTGTAGAGCACATACTGCTCAATTTGCTTTGCCACTAGAACTCCTCCCAGTCCTGGTAAAAATCAAGAACTGCAGTACTGTTTGATCATTCCCTGCAGCACATTATTCAACACAACTCCCTTCCTTCTCAATCCCCTGCCAGTCAATAATTTAATATTTCAAGTTATTAAAATAATCAGATTTGATATCAAAATACCAGGTAGCACTACTGGTATGTGTCAGTAGAAAACAGTTTATGCAATAGTTGACTCAGAGTCAAATCTAGAGATTTCCATCCAAGCAACAGCACTAATACAAAACCACTTGGACAAAATTTTTTTTAAAATCATGAAGGCAAAAAAGTAAACAAGATCACTTAGCAACATGAGAAACCAAGAAATAGATCTCCATTATACACCAGCTAACAGAGGCATGCCTACTTTCCAGAAATGAACAAAAAATGAAGACTTGTGAAGCAGAAGTTCATTCCAGGAAAAAGTGACTAAATATTTAGCAGATAGACTACAATTAAGATATGTAAGCAATTTCAAAAATGTTAGAAACAAAAGTTATAAACAGCTTTCAAACTTCAAATCTGGCCCAGGTTTTCTTTTTCTTTATTAGCAGCAATCATTCCAGATCCTAGGCACCAGTCCCTATTGAAAGGTGCAAGAAATCTACATTTTACTGAAGCAGTTTTAAAAAAGGAAACTGAAAATGGTAAATGTTACCCTTGGCAAAGTACATATAAATGTCCTAAAAAACAGCTAAATACATAGAACATTTCTGAAGACCTGCCTATGTGAGTCAGATGCACCTTACATTCTCCCAAATCAAAGGCATCATAGCTTAGGAGACACAGTCTTTTTACAGTGCTTTTAAATTCCAAGTTCATAATAAAACCAGGCAATAATAACAGGTATCAGCTGTTTTGTTTACACTGTGATTTTATGTACAATGCAATCACCCTACCCAGCATCTTTATCTTGAAGTGAACTTTTTCTTGAGGTCAGCTGCTCCCACTTAATCTGGAGTTGAAATTTGGTGGAATGAAAAATGAAAAAGAATATATTTCTGTCAAGTTCTCCCCCCACTCATCTTTTCAACTATCCTCTGCTTTCCCACGACAGAAGTGGTAAATCATATTAACAGCAGAACATGAATTAACCTTACTTTAACATGAATATATTTGTGTTCTCCAATGCCAGATCAACTTTCCAAGCCAGTACACGTTGCAATATGACAAATACCTGTGTCATTATGTGCCAGAAGGGTGCATCCCATAGGATGCTGCTACTGAGGGCAACAAATCACTGAACTGTAACCTCAGGTGCACCTGATTCACTATAAATTGTGAACTACTACATTAAACGCGCGGCCCTCCTAAGGGAGCAGCAGAACACCAGAATAAAGCATCATGAATTCTCAAGAAGCCTTGCTACCAGGAGAAGCAGCAAGAATTATGGAATGTATTTCCCCTCTTTGAAAATTACCCTTTTGTTATCATTCTGCAGACAGGTAGCTGGAGGCTGTATGTCAGAAAACAGCTCCAAATTGTTTTCTGTGGTGCTGGTTGAAGATGCACGTTTAAAGCAGAGTTTACAAAGCAATGCATGCTTTGATAACACACCACAAGGCTGAACTGTGATAAACTATTGTGAGGATTGGGACATTTTTGATTTGTACAGCAGCAGTAAAAGCAGGAATAAGCTTGTAAATGGTAATAAAATGCCTTTCACCAGTTACAACTTTCCAATTACTACAAGATAAGAAATGCTGTTTTCTGAAACCTTAAAGCCTTCTAAGTTACAAGCCTAAACTTTTCATTTATTTATCTGAAACCTGCCTAGCTTTTGTGCAGGACAAATTTATGTAACTTATTTGAATAATAATTCATATACAGAAAGTGCATGCCTTAAAACTTCTGGAAGATAATTTCCCCATGGCTTGAACTCCAAGAAGGTAAAATCCAATTTAATTCAGCCATTTCTCTTCATAGTGAGAAACAGAAACAGCCAGAGTTTTAACAAGGCTATCTTTAAGTTGCCATTGTAAGAAAAGTGAAAATCTATGAAAAAACCCTGAAAAACAAAATAAAGAGCCTTTGTTGATAGCCACAAGTTTGCAGAGGCTAAAGCTTAGGCTTCTGAGCTCAACTCATTGTAATGAAGGCCTGTGAAACTGCTATAGCAAGTGCTTAAGCAGTCACTCATCCACACTAATGAAAAAGAAGTCCTTTGTGCCTATTAAA